TCCCATTGGCCAGCTAATGGGAACTGCGGGGGCAGTGTGCGGAGCCCCCCCTGGTTGCCCCTACACATAGGAGGCGGAGTGGGGACATGCTGCTGCTTCCAGGAGCCAAGCGGAGCCCCGGCATGCGTAGCGCGGGGAAAGCCCCTGACCCCATTCCCCGGCTGTAGCTCAAGAGCCATATTAAAATGTTGGAAGAGCCGGATGCAGCCCCCGGGCTGTAGTTTTCCCACCTCTTCTCAAAGGGGACTCCTTCTGTCCCCATCAGCATCTCTGTACAGTTACAGCAATGCAACATGTAGCCTACTCTGCCACCTGCCAGCATCAGTGCTCCCAGAACAGCAGCCAGGGGCCGATCTAAACTGCTGCTCTAATTAGTGCAAACACTGCCTCCTCCCTCCCCACCTGCAAACCCAGACAGCCAAGACAGTTTGGATCCTCAGGTCTCCCATGCTACAAGTCAGGGTACATCACCTCCACCTGACCCACCCCTCCCCACAGGCTACAGGGTACCCTTACTCCCTCCAATGACTCCCACCTACCCCCAACAAAAGAGGACCCACAGCCACTTTCATAGATTCCAAGGCCAGAAGTGACCATTGCGATCATCTAGTCTGAAATCCTGGATAACACAGACCAGAAAATAATTCTTAATGCGAATCTTTAATTAAACACATTGTGACGGTGCACCCCATAAGACTTTATGGAAATATGCTTATGAATGTATATAGGACATAACTGGAATATGTTTTTATGCTACATGTGCCATGTAACATATCTCTGTAAAGGTTATGATCTACTGAATCTATTCATCCTATTTGTATGCATATATTATTTTTATATTTAAAGTTATGAATATTGGCTGTGTACTTGCTTGATTTTAACTAGCCTTAGTAAAGCATTTGGTCAGCTTCTTGAGAAAGGAATGTGCAAATTAAGTGCCCAGTCAAGAAGCACTTAATGAACAATGGATCTTGGAAGGCTCCAATCCACATAAGAAGTCTTTCTGGAGACATTCAAGATAGCATGTGGGCAATGGCTGCTGCCTGTAAAAACTGAGTCATGCATGGACATGTGACTTGCCCATGTGACTCCAAAATTCCATTTTGTAGCTGGATTCTACACAGGGGGAAGGAGGTGTGTTCGCCTACAAGAGAAAGTCTATTTAAACCCCTGGGAGACCCCTCCATTTTGTCTTCAGCTGGCTCAAGAGATAGCCTCTCCACCCCCAAGGATACCTGAAAGAAACTGGAACAAAGGACAGTAACTACAGGGGGGGTGAGTGATTGCTGGACCCAGACTAGAAGGAGATTAGTCTGTAAAAGGAAGCTTACTGGAATTCCTCTGAGGGTGAGGTTTTTATCTGTATTCAGTTTTCTTACTGCATTAGACAGTCTTGCCTGTTCTATTTTATTTTGCTTGGTAATTCATTTTGTTTTGTCTGTTACTGCTTAGAACCACTTAAATCCTACTTTCTGTATTTAATAAAATCACTTTTTACTTATTAAAAAACCCAGAGTATGTATTAATACCTTGGGGGGGGGGTGGAGAAACAGCTGTGCATATCTCTCTATCAGTGTTAGAGAGGGCGAACAATTTATGAGTTTACCCTGTATAAGCTTTATACAGGGTAAAACGGATTTATTTGGGGTTTGGACCCCATTGGGAGTTGGGCATCTGAGTGTTAAAGACAGGAACACTTCTGAACCCGCTTTCAATTGAGCTTACAGCTGTTAGCGGACGTGGTTCAGACCTTGGTCTGGGTTTGCAGCAGGCTAGCGGGTCTGGCTCAAACCAGGCAGGGCACTGAAGTCCCAAGCTGGGAGGGCAGGGAAAGCAGGGGCAGAAGTAGTCTTGGCACATCAGTTGGCAGCCCCAAGGGGGTTTCTGGGATCCAACCCGTCACACACATCCAATCAGAATTTAAAAATTGCCAGTGATGGAGAATCCACCACTGCCTGTGGTCAACTGGTCCAATGGTTAATTACTTGCTGGTTACCAGCCTCCTTAGGGCAATCCGTCTCTTGCCCTTGCTGCTGCAGAGCCCAGCAACCCGGTGCGACAGCCTCCCCAAGGTGGGGAGCAGGGAGGCTCCAGTTGGAAAGAGGGAGCTGCTGGTGGGTGCCTGTCACTGAGTGGTGGGAGAGGAGCAGATGAAGTGGGATGAGAGAGAAGTTGCCTGAGGGAGGCCCTGGCTGAAGTGTCAGCTGCACAGCACTGCCCAACTCGGTTCCACTTTGAACGCAATGGGAACCTCAACCTTTTCCAGACCGGGCTAAAGCCCTGCAGAGCCAATGCTGTAGCAAGGTCTGACAACATGGTTAAGCGCAAGCTATGCTACAAACTGGCTATAAGACAACTATGTTGTAGCTGGGTCCCCACTACCGCAATTCTATCTGCAGTATAGATAGGCCATAAGAAGCTATCCCTCAATCCCCCCAAATTGCTTAGGATAGCTTGAAATTCCTCAGATGCCAGAGTCAGCCTGAGCAAGCACTAACCTCTGCTTTGTTGGCGAGCAGCTCCCCCATATGGAAGAAAGTATACAGAGCGAGCTGGTACATAGCATGGCCCTAACCAACAAATCTTCTCACTCCCCAAAGGGAATGGAGAATGAGTAAGAGTGAGAGAGCCCATATTTTCCCAAATGAAAAATAGGACACTGCACAGGGCCGGCCTGCGGCCCCCTTCTTTTCCCCCCGGTGCCCGCCTGCGCAGAGCCCTCCCCCCCCACCAACCCAAACCTCCCCTGCCACCAGCCCTGAGCCCTCCCTCCCACACGGGGCTGGAATCACTGCTCATCCCCACCCCCCTGCATGTTCCTCCGTGCCGCCCTAGGGGTCACACCCCACCTTTTGGGCAAAACTGGGCATTTGTCCCATTTGCTCTTGCCAACTGATCATCAGTCGAGACAGCCAGGACAGGGCTTAAAAAAGGGACTATCCCAGCCAAAACAGGATGTATGGTCACCCTAGTAAGAGTCTAACATCCTCCTTGCACCAGCTTCCCTTGTCTGGCAATGCAGCTGGTGGGAGATCTCCAGTGCTTGCATCCCCACAGCTACGATAACAGTGTCTGGGCCAGACGAGGCTGAACCTACCAAGGGGTCACAAGCAGAAGTCAGACTATGGTCACAGCTGCTAGTCTAGAAGCTGGCATACCAAGTCACTTGGTTGGGGAAGATTTCTCTGGGGAAGGGGATTACTTCTGCAAATATAGAGTCACTTCGTTTCATTTTAACGGGAAGAGGCTCAAACATTTCAACTGTTCATTTTTTATTTCTTTAACATCCAGGGTTATGCAGAGTTGAATTTCCAGCAGCACAACATTCATTCCAATGTTCTCTATAATAAGATCCTTATTTTCTTTAGTATAGTCATTAACTTCAACATCCCATGCTAAATACTGTTATCTACAACTATTCAAATGTGCATACATAAGTTTTCTGTGCTTCATACAGCTCTGCAAAGAACCAGTCACACTTCTGGCACCATAGATAAATGAAGGCTGCTGTATTGTTAGTTACTTTGCCCACCAACAAAATGCAGCCCCTTCTGTGGGCAGAATACGGCTACTAGTTATCAGCTCACAGCAACATTTGGCAATAGTCCGGAGCAGGAAGTGAAGGATATCAACTGGAACTGCAGAAAGGAACAGTTACCATCTAACAGCAGATACCAATGAGAACCAAGGGAAGGAGGGCAGAGAGACAGAGAAAGAAACCAAAGCCGCAGACCGGTGGTCAGGGCATTTCTGTTTCATTCTAGTTTCGGAGGCCAGAGGTGAATGAACATAACCCTTGACTTGTCATCGCTCTGCTAAGTGGATGCCTAGTTTTAAAAAAATATATACTTTGGGGTTTTCCCCTCTTCCCCCGTTAACGACCAATTGAAACCAATTTCTGTGAGCCCCAAATTTAAACTGCCATGAAACAGAATTTTCCTCTCCCAGAGGCTTGAGTGAACAGCTTTATGCAGTTTTATGCAGTTTACCCTGTAAGAATTAACCCTCTCCCTGCTAACAGGCATGTACTGACAACCCAATGGGACCCTCTTATCTAGCATGCCAGTGAGAGGGCGTCCTTCACACCACTGCTGAGTGTGTGGGTTATGCAGATTATTGTACCCCCCATGCCACTGCACATCTTGAGACCCCAAGGAGCTATTTCAGGTACAAAGTTACAGTTCTGTCATTTGAACAAGAGTCTTAAAGGCCTCATATCTCAATGTCCCCAGCTGTAAAATGTGGACGATGACTCTGACCGCCTATGTAAAGCATTTGGAGACCTACTGATGAAAATCTCTAGAAAAGAGCTGGGTATTATTATTGTTAAATCCTGCAACGAGCCCCATGCCCTGAGCCCTAATGGAGCCACACTAAATTCAACCAAGCTCGGCTCAAGGGACCACGTTGCTGGATTGGCACCAAACTGCCTCACTTGAATTTGAAAAGCAATGTAGGGGTTACATTCCAATGAGAACAGCTGTATGTCAGCGTGTCCCTGCTGCATCGGGAACACAACCACCAGTTTCCAGGGAGCAGAGCCAGTGAGAAGCAATCCCCCCACCCCAAGCCCTAATGGAGATCATTTCTAAACATGGGAAATATTCAGGATTTGACTTGGGCAGTTGCTTTCAACAGCAAAGGTTTGGAATTCTCCACCCAAGTCCTGGTGCTAGCGATGCCAGGCAAGTTCAGGAGCCTCACAAGCTGGATGGCTGCATTGGGGGTAGTGTTTACTTTACAGATGCACAAAAAGACCCCTTTGTGTGAGTGTCAATGCATTTTATGCCAAAGTCATGCAAAAGTACATAAACCCGCATCATGGATTCCGTCATCTTGGCATCTGATTGGCGGGACTGAGCCTTCCTGAAACTCCTCTGCCAGCGCCAGGTAGGTGGGGGATAGGACAGCGCCTGGGAAAACAGCTTGCTTGGCTCACTGTCCAACAAGTCTAACAAGCCCAGAGAATGATCAAAACCTCCTGCGCCTCCCCCGCCTGCCACCTCCTCCACTCCCCGATAAATTCCCAAGACTGGTCATCCTGCTGCCGCAGCAAGCTGCTTCCTAAGAGCTGCATGCTCCTTCGCTCGCAGCCCCCAATGAGGATGGAAAAGCGGTCTCGCAGCTCCTCCAAGGAGTCCCACAGGAGGAACAGAGAGCCTGCAGACTCACAGGGCAGGAGAGAGAAGGTGGAGAGCAGAAGAGCAGCCAGCAAGGACAGAGAGGGGCTCAAGAGGGGGAAAGCCAAGGAGGGCAAGAGCCCCATGGAGACAGACAGCAGGATGCCGAGCTCCACAGTGGTAGACGTGGACGATGTAGTGTCTTTCGACGAGGAAACAGAGGTGATGGCACTGCTGGAAAGTGAGCGACAAGAGGAAGGTAGGATTTGGAAAGGGCAGGAGAGCAGTAGGGACAGAGGCTACTGGCTTGTGGGGCACTGGGGTCCGATTCTGCTCTGATCCCTGTATCGTCATTTACACCAATGCAAAGGGAGAGCAAAGCAGGTGCAGTAAGTGCATGGTGCAGGAACAAGCAGCAAGTGATCACACAAACCCCCAGGGCCAGATTTTCAGAAGGGCTCAGCACCAGGCCCTGGGGCTAGCCAGGCTGCTCAGAGACATCAGGACCTGTTCCATTTCTAATAAAGCAACGAATTTAGCAGCAAACAGCATCCATCCTGCATCCCTTTAGGCCTCAGAGCACTGCTCATTAGCTTCGTTAGGCCACAGCCTCACTAGCTCTATTACCCCTTAACCCTGAGAAGCACAGGGGATTATTTACTACCCTTAGATAGAAGAAGTTTCTAGCTAGAGTTATCCTAGGTGTCTCTTAAGCCTTGCTCTGACCAGAACACACCTGAACCAACCTATTGCCACAGGAAACAGATCAAGATGGCCAGTTCCAGGGGCAGGGATTTGGCACGGGGTGGGGAGGGGAAGAAGGGGGACTGTGAGGTGATCAACAGAGCTCTTTGCCTCTCATCCTTTGTATATTGGCACTGAACTACCAATAGAATCATAGAATATCAGGGTTGGAAGGGACCCCAGAAGGTCATCTAGTCCAACCCCCTGCTCAAAGCAGGACCAATTCCCAGTTAAATCATCCCAGCCAGGGCTTTGTCAAGCCTGACCTTAAAAACCTCTAAGGAAGGAGATTCTACCACCTCCCTAGGTAACGCATTCCAGTGTTTCACCACCCTCTTAGTGAAAAAGTTTTTCCTAATATCCAATCTAAACCTCCCCCACTGCAACTTGAGACCATTGCTCCTCGTTCTGTCATCTGTTACAATTGAGAACAGTCTAGAGCCATCCTCTTTGGAACCCCCTTTCAGGTAGTTGAAAGCAGCTATCAAATCCCCCCTCATTCTTCTCTTCTGCAGGCTAAACAATCCAAGCTCCCTCAGCCTCTCCTCATAACTCATGTGTTCCAGACCCCTAATCATTTTTGTTGCCCTTCGCTGGACTCTCTCCAATTTATCCACATCCTTCTTGAAGTGTGGGGCCCAAAACTGGACACAGTACTCCAGATGAGGCCTCACCAATGTCGAATAGGCACAGGCTCTATCCATAGAACTGATCTGTTCAGCCCTGGCATCACAGGGATGGGAGGGAATGCCAAGAAGCAGCAAAAACCCTCCCCAGTCCAGCTGCTCTGCTGCCCCAGCTTTACTTCTCTCTCCCTGATGATTAATTCTCTACAGCTGCCTCTTTCCTCTAAGGAGTTCTGTCTTGATTACAGGGAGCTGCTCGTCGCTACAACCAAGATACTAAGCCACAATCAGAACATTGCTGGAGGTTCTGAGGACGCGCAATTTGGGAGCGTTTCCAGCCACAGGTTTAGTTCAGCTTGTTGTAGGGAGAAGGTCCAGCTGCAAAACTCAGATACAGACTGTGAACCCTTATAGCTTGGTGTGTTGGCATGGGGGGCTTCGGTTCAAGCTCCTCTGTAGACCTGGTCTTTCTGCAGAGAGCCCCTAAAGGCAGAAGGGACTGTCATAGTCAGTGGAAGCAGGGATGTTAACTCACCTTTGGAAAGAGTAAGCATTCTGCTTTCAGGGCTTTGCCTGCACCCAGCAGGAAGCCATCTGCCTACTAGAGCCACGGGTTCTCTAAAGGGGGCAGTAGCCCTGAAAGGCCAGCTTTTAAGGGCAGCCAGTGGAAGCTGGAGCATGCCCACTTTGGGGAGAAGGTGGAGTCAGCATCAGCTCAGTAGGAGAAGGGGGTTCTTGCTCTCCTTCCTACCAGCCTTCTGATGGGAGGTCAGAAAGGAAGGTTCAAAGGGGGAATATTTTAAAAGCAAAACCAAGGGAGCTAATATAGCCTCGTGGACAGAGCACCTGCCTGAAGGCAGAAGCATTGGGTTGTGGGCTACAGAGTGGGTGCATGAGCCTGAGAGGGTGAGCTTTCCTATCTGTTAATTGAGGGAAATAATCAATGTCACAGGGAGTGTGTGAGGCTTAACTTATTCCTGATTGTGAAGCCTGAATGGAAGGGGCTATAAATGCATGAGCGTTGCAGGAGCTGGTAGGTTACAGAGAGAGCACAGCTATCCTCGCACAGGACAGGTGAGGGTTAGGGTCTGTTTAAAATGATCTCTGCTTTCTGATTTTTCTCCTTCCTGTACTGTCCATTAGTAAATAAACATCTGGACTCAGAGCTCAGACCACCATTCTTTCATTGTAAGCCTTTACCCTCTCTCTCTCTCACACACACACGCGCACGCACGCCAGGTCTCATCCTCCATAAATAGCAATTAATCCAGTCCTACAGCTTCAGACAAAGTTAAAAGCCAGAATTTCTGGGAAAGGATCACTTGTTGCTCTGTGTCACAGAATCAACCCTAAAGGACTGCATGGCTCAGAGAATTAGTAAGAGCCCAGGTAGCCTTTCATTTGGAAGTCACTGCTGCCCATCCACCTGGGGCTGCTGGGGAATAAGAGTTGTTTCCCTCTGATATCTGTCTGATGATACTTGGGTAACATAAGGTCCCACAGGAGAGGTGCCCACATCACAGAACTCACCAGGGGCTTTAGCTCTAGTGGCACCAGCCACATAAAAAGGCCAAAGACTTAATAGCAGGGGTCTCAAACTCAGTTTACCGTAGGGCCAGTGCCAGTCCTCAAATCCTCCCAGCGGGCCAATCATGTCACTGAAGAAGGTGTTCAGAAAAGAAAACGTTGATATTTATTTTTTATTTTGAATTTCTTAGAAATAATAAAACTGTCATCCAACTTTATACAATTCTTCCCCTGCCAGAGAGTTTTTAGTGTTTGTCAGACACCTGGCAGTGCTTCAGTTCTGTCAGTTTGTTGATGTTTGGCCCCAGTGACTGAGCAGTTGACACCTTCAGGATTGCAGCAAGGTGGGCATCAGACAGTTGTGTTCGGTATTTCGGCTTGTTTATATTCATTGTGGGGAAAAGTGATGCTGCCTCCATGGCTGACTCTGCCCGGCAACTAATGATGATATCTCTGTCCCTCTCCCCCAGCCAATGGGAGCTGCGGGGGGCAGCACCCGCAAAAAACAATGCCGGTAGCGTGTCAGCCTGGGTCTCTCCTCTGTGGGCCACAGTGGGGAGGTTCTTGGGCCGCAGGTGGCCCACAGGCTGGGACTTTGAGACCCCTGCTTAATAGCTTCCAAGCAGCAGGATTGTCTCTGAGCTAAGGGATTGACCTGGGCATTGGGAGAGCTGGGTTCAGTTCCAGTTGTGCCACAAATTCCCCATGGGCAAATCACTTTAGTCTCTCTGTGCCTCCGTTCCCTCTGTAAAATGGGGATAACAGCATTTCCTTTGTCTATTGTTTGGGGCAGGGACTATCTCTTACTGTGTGTATCCCTAGCACCCTGGGGCCAGGCCTCAAGCAATACTGCTAACTAATGGGGATGGACCAGAGGTGGGCAAACTACAGCCCGTGGGCCACATCCAGCCTGCGGGACCGTCCTGCCGGCCCTTGAACTCCCGGACGGGGAGGCTAGCCGCCGGCCCCTCCCCTGCAGCCTCACCTCGCTGCACCGCCAGCGCTCTGGCCCGTTGCTCCTGCCGGGCAGTGTGGCTGGCTCCGGCATGGTAGGGGGGTGGGGAGTCCTAGGGGACAGTCAGGGGACAGGGACCAGGGGGCAGTTGGATGGGTTGGAGGTTCTCGGGGAGGTGGGCAATCAGGGGACAGGGAACAGGGGAGTTGGATAGGGCATGGGAATCCCAGGGAGCCTGTCAGGGGGTGGAGGTGTGGATAGGGGTCAGGGCAGCCAGGGAGCAGGGGGGGGTTGGATAGGGGGTGGGGTCCCGGGGGGGCGGTTAGAGGCAGGGGGTCTCAGGATGGGGGCAGTCAGGGGACAAGGAGCAGGGGGTTTGGATGTGTCGGGAGTTCTGAGGGAGGGCAGTCAGGGGGTGGAAAGTGGGAGGGGGCAGATAGGGGGCAGAGGCCAGGCTGTTTGGGGAGGCACAATCTTCCCTACCCGGCCCTCCATACAGTTTTGCAACCCCGATGTGGCCCTCAGGCCAAAAAGTTTGCCCACCTCTGGGATAGATGATAGCCTCTATGAGTGGTTCCAGTGGGTCAGGGCTGAAGCACAGTGCAGTGGGGCACCATCCGTTTTTCTGCTTGTGCTGTGGATCCCCAGGCCCATAAAGCTGGCACAAAAGAAAGAGCTGTTGCAACTTCCCCTTGCACTGGGTGGCCTCTAGTCATTCACTGCCCAGGAGTGAATCAGACACTACCATCAGGTCAGTAAAGGTGCAGACCCAGAGCCAGCTGCTGCCCCTGCCAAAGATCTTCAATGGGCTCCTTGAGCTCAGGACTCTTAGACCAACCACGGGGAAGCTGCTGGCCTCACCCTTCTTCCCATGTTACAGCAAAGCGCGCCCCGCCCCCCCCCCACACACACACACAGAGCGTGGGTTCTTTGCAGCTGCCCATTTCACACTGTGGCCTCATGCCATGGCACAAAGACCTGGGCCCAGATCCTCAGAGGTATTTAGGCACCTAACTCCCATTAAAACCTTTGAGGATCTGGGCCTTTGTTCCTAAGGGCACCAGTGGAAAAGTGGCACGTGGCACACCCTGGCCTGCCAAAACCACAAGCCTGGGGTTTGGGCTGCAGCCTCTAGTCCCTCTTATTGGTGTGGATTTCCAGGCGTAGCAGACACACCCATGCACAGTGCTACACTCAATAGGGTCGAGGTTGCAGCTGGAATCCATTTCAAAAGGACACACAGGCCTAGCCTGAGATCCCCCTGTACCAGTCCCAGATGAATAATGCAGCCTCCACTTAGAACAGCAGAGAGGAGTAGAGCTTTCACCTGGTTCTGGTGCCCTCCTGGAATGAGCACTGGCTTTGTCTGGTTCATGCATCCAGCTGGGAGTCTGCTCGCGGACAATGGAATCGTCCCAAACACACAGCGATAAAAGCTTCGTACCCAGCCCACCAGAGGAGCTACACCACCCCGACAGGAGAGATGCTGGCTCAGGCTGCACCTGGGAAATGGGACATGCGAAATGCCTCTTCTTTGCTGGGACTTTCAGAGTATTTCTAATGAATATTTAAAGTACGATACCAGCAGTAGTGCCTGATCCGCACTTGTTCCCCATGGTGCTGTCAGAATACATATAGTAATGCAGCCTCTGCTCCAAAATGCTCACACATAACCATGTTTTTACCCTTTTAAGCCAGGCCCTGAATACTGACTCCAGTGTCTTGGTCAAATTCCAGCCCAAGTGATTACACTCTGTCTATCTCTAAGCAGGTTTTGATCACCTGGTGGAAGCTGGATTTCTGACCACGCAAGCAGGTGTCAATCGGTCAGTAATATGGAAATAGGCACCTACTAATGTGTTCTTTCTTTTTCTTTAGGGATGACATCTCCCGGTCGAGGTATCTGTGAGTGGCTTCTTACCATCTTGTCCCTTCTCTTCATCATATTGACCTTCCCCATTTCTGTCTGGTTCTGCATGAAGGTGAGGCTATGCATGGTATGCTTGACTTTGCAACCTTATTGTGGTATTTTAACATAGGTTTTGGGTGTAATTTCCTAGAGTTTTAAAAAAGCAAACTGAAAACACAGAAATGCCATCATGTGGCATCATACTGGCACCCATGTAGGTCCTCAGCAGAGTCAGAACCTTTACATACACCACTCAGCCCTCTGCTACTTAAGCTAAAGGATTAACTGATAGCAATAGTTGGTTGTTATCCAGATCATTTCCCAGATATTTGCTGACAGCAGAGGAATGGTGAGACTCAAGCATAGGTGCTGGAACAATTTTTAAAGTGGGGGTGCTGAAAGCTATTACCATGTATCTGGTGGTTAGTACTACTTCAAGCCAGGGGCTCAAACCAGCAGGTGCTGCCACACCACCAGCACCTATGGTCTCAAGGACCTTGGGTTCCATTCCAGGCTGGAGGGGAGTGTATTCTAGTGTGCAAACTCTTCTGCCCATTCCCCTCCAATCTGGTCCTGTCCCGTCCTTGCCCTGGGCTCCTTGTCCCAGTCCTATCCTCCTCACCTAGCCAGTCCCAGTCCCCACTCCTCAGACTTTTCATCCCAGTCCCCATCTCCTTTGCCCAGCCAGTCCCAGTTCCCTGCTCCCAGCTCCTCAACCCATCCGTCTGTGTCTCCCACTCAGCCTCCTACGTCCACAGTCCCCATCCCCACTGGCTCCCAGTCCCAGTTTCCCACCCCAGCCTGTCTAATCTGAGTGTCCCTCCCCCAGTCTGACTCCTTGTCCCAGGCTCTCTGCTCAGCCAGTCCCAGTTGTCTCCTTGCACACTGGCTCCTCTCAGATCTGTCTCCCCTCCCTGACTACACTGCTTCCCATTCCCAGTCTCCCCCAGCTCCCCATCTGATCTCAGTCTCCCCCTCAGTGGCTCTCAGTCCCATCCCCAGCTTCCTGTCATGGTCTCCTTGCACAGCCAATCACAATCTCCCCCGATCCCAACACACAGTCCCAGTCATTCCCCACCCCTGCACCCCTCCCAGAATTCTTCATCCCAATGTACTCGCCCCACCCCAGATCTGGCTCTTGCCCCCTCTGCATTTGATTCAAATGGCTTCCTCCTCTACGCTGCCTAGGCCCAGGAGGGAGATCATTGAGAGCACTGGAGAGACAGGCTCCCTGCTCTCAGTTCCACTGGCCAGGAGCCGGCCACAGTTGCAATTGCCATACAGTCTCTGGGCCAGATTCTCAGCTAGCATAAATGGAAACAGCAGCCCTGGCATGAATGGAGCTACACTAGCTGACAGCTCTGGCTGGCTGGCTCTGCACAGTTTGTCTTTCGGTGGTTTTCCCAAAACAACGATTTCACCAGCTTCTCTTCCAGTGCCGCAGCCCTTCCCCCAGATCCCCACCTCCTCCAATTCCAGCCTCTCTGTCTCCCACTGTAGATCGTGCGGGAGTACGAGAGAGCCATCGTGTTCCGACTTGGGCGCCTCCTTCCCGGAAGGCCCCGAGGGCCCGGTAAGCAATTTGTTCGCTCCTTCACCCCTTTCTCTTGCCACACTCATGCAAGGCTCCAACGGGGCTCCCAGAAGTGTCAGGCCAGCCACCCCATCCCCACTGTTCCCAGGGGATCCCACGCCCAGTGTCCCACTCCCCGTGCCTTGCCCCTCTCACTCCACCCACCACAAATGTACATCCTGATCCAGGCCAGCCTCTGCTAATCCTGAGTCTGCAATCCTGCACCCTTCTCCTCTCCCCTCCGTCCGATGGCCTTGTCCTCCTAACACCCCACCCCTGCGGGCTCTGGCTGTCTCCCTCCCTTACCAGGTCTGCTAATGGCTGACAATGCGGGCATTATCCTCTGCTTGGCAGGTGACTGGCTCCTCACAGGGCTGGCTGCCCCTTGGGCTGCTGCAGCCACAGGAGATGAGTTGGGTGAGGGGCGTCTGGAAATCCTGTGCTCAGTGCCTGCGGCTCCCTTGGCCCTCTCCCACTCCATGCAGCCGAGCCAAGAAACGAGTAGGCAATTCTTGGGACCCCTGTTTCCTCTTCTGGCAATGGCAGCTCCTGTGCGGCTCCCAACACCTGCAGGCCTCCAACCACTGCTGAAGTGGTGGGGTCAGGCTTCATGCCCCCTGGTTCTCTTCTCCCTCCCAACTATGAGGAAGTGGAAATGCAGCCGCTTTCCCACCCCCAACTGCAGGTTGTGGTTGTCTCCCTACCCCTCTCCTCTCACAGGGCCCTTCGCGTCTATGTGCCATGCTCAGCTTGCTCCATCCGCACTCCGCACATATTAGCTGCCTGGGGGGCCCTTGCATTAAGACCCCATGGGCCTGGCACCCCTCTCCTCAAAGCCCCCACTGTGAGGACTCTAGGCAGCCAAGGGCCTGAGCAGGGCCGGCTCTTGGTTTTTTGCCACCCCAAGCAAAAAATTTGCCACCCCAAGCTCAGGTGGGGCTGGGGCTCGCAGGCGGTGCTGGAAGTGGAGGGAGTGATGTCACCTTCTCCCAGCGCCTGCAGGGGCTTTCCCCCCTCCCCTGCCCAGCCGCGCAGAGAAGCCCCCATATAAGGGGTGGCACAAGGCAGCGCAGCAGCCAGTGCGCAGAGGAGGCGGTGCAGCCCCGGCAGGACTCGCCCTCTCCTCCCCAGGTAGCGGCTGGGCCTGGCAGCTCAGCATCCCGGGGCTGGGGCTTCCCCTTCCTGCTGCGGCCGGGGGCGCGGCGCCCTCGCCCCGTCTAAGTGGTGCAGCTCCGAGAGCGCAACTGCCCCGAAAAGAAAGTCTGGCTGGAGTGCCGCCCCTGGAAATGTGCTACCCCAAGCATGTGCTTGCTTTGCCGGTGCCTAGAGCCGGCCCTGGGCCTGAGCCAGAACCCCCGTCCAAACCGTCCACAGCTTGTTCTGGTCTGGATCCTGCTCCAAGTGTTACAGCTCAGACCCATCTTGGTGCTAAGACGTGGGCTCAGCTGTGAAGTGAGAACCCAGCATGCTGAGTGGGGGACAGCGAGTGACTCTAAAACCTTTGCACTGAGTGGCCAGGGGAACCCCTCAGGGACTGATGTCTCTGCCACATCTTTTGGGAAGAGTTTATTTCCGTCCCCCCCTCCACTCATTCCTGCAGCAGGACATCTGGGCAGGTGTTTAGTGTGGGAGACGCTGCAGCTCTGGGCCCTTCTCTTGGTCTTTGTCTTGTCCTACGTAGCCCCAAGTTTGCTGCTGTTGGGTCAGGGAGTGGGACTTTCTTCCATGGCATCCAGTCACATGCTGCTACTCTGTCTCTTCCTCCCCTAGGCCTTTTCTTCTTCCTTCCCTGTCTGGATACATACCACAAGGTAGACCGTCGCCTCAAAACCCTAGAGATCCCCTTCCATGAGGTAAGCCAACTCCCTCCCATTTATTCCCTTGCATCTCTAGCATTAGCTTTTCCTATGGTTGGTTAGATCTATTTGCTCCCTAGTGGGAAGGTGGCATAAAATATTACACCCACCCAAGAGGCAGGCTTAAGCCTGAAGTTAACTGCAGCCAGTGGCTAGTGTCGGTCATTCTGCCCTGGAGCAATAAAAGTATCTCACACTTAGATAGCACTCTGGCTTCTGAGGGACCCCAAAGTGCTTTAGAAGCTGTACACAGCCAGCACAGCTGAGATGCAGCCAGCTCTGGGCAAAGGACACTAGCCGACTGGCAGACAGCACGCTGCTCCATGCTCATGATCATATTGCCAATCTTATGCTATTTGGTATTTTTTATAAGCCCCAGGTCCTGGAGTCAGGTGAATGGGCAAGAATCTCACTTTTTTTCCCCGCTTAATCAACGCTAAGTATCTAAGCTTCATGGCTGTGCAGAAAGGCTCGTAAATGTGACCAAAATGCACCGTAAAAGTGCAGAAACTAGAAGGCACAAATCATACAGGTACATTAAAATCTCTCCATTTTTAATCCAAGTTAACAATTTTTGAACACATAAAATGGGCAAGGCCCAGCACAACACAACACACTGCTGCACAACACAGCACACCAAACATAACCCAATGCACCACTGGCCAGTACAGCACAGCACGACAAGGAGAGGGGAGGAAGAGTTTTTGGCCAAAGACACTGGGCCAGATTCTTACAAAAAGTGCCAGGGGGTCCCGCGCAGAGGAGGCTGGGGCATGGTTCTTAAGATCTCATCTGAAGGACCCCCACATATGTACCAGCCTTGGAAGGACAGCCTGCTGGGATTAGAGTCCGTCATTTCCAGGGTCTAGGCAGGCACAGGCCAGTGGGGAGCAGCCCTCCCTATGCCCAAATCCTTTGTTTTCATTTCTTTCCTTGGCTCCCTCTCCCTGCATTCCTTATACCTGGCTGCATTACTAGCTAATAGCAGCATCTAGAGCCCCCACCTGAGATTTTTTCCGTGGGGGCAGCTTGGAGCAGGGACCATCCTGCATGACTCCTAGCATGCGGTGGATGCTGCCGTGAACAGTGATAATCACATTGTTCTCGGTGCTGCACACACATAATAAGAGACAGTCTGCTCAAACCACTTACATGCAAAATAGACAAGACAGGCCAAGAGCAGGATAGAAAAGAGAGGCAAAGTGACTTGCCCAGGGTCAGAGCTAGGACCAGAATCCCTATGATCTCCTGAGTCCCAGCCCAGTGCCTTACCCACAAGGCCATTCTTCCTCTTCTGCAGTGTTCCCAGCTCCTCCATCCCACCCCAGAGTTATCAGAACCAGCTCCATCACCCCCAACATTCTCTGTCTAGGTGGTGACTAAAGACATGGTTACAGTGGAAATAGATGCAGTCTGCTACTACCGGATGGAAAATGCCTCTCTCCTCCTAACCAGCGTGGCCAACCTCTCCAGCGCTGTCCAGCTGCTGGTACAGACAACCATGAAGCGCTTGCTGGCCCATCGATCCTTCAGTGAAATCCTCCTGGAGAGGAAGAGCATTGGCCAGGAAATGAAGGTATCTCCACAGGGAGGTGGGCAGCTGTGGGGCCAGAGCGCTGGGGCAATGCAGTAGATGGATCTTTCAACACATGGTGTATAAAGGGCCTCAGGGAAAGGCCTATAAGAAGCCCACAGTGATCAGTTGCAGGGATCAGTCATAGCCTCTGGAGACTTGCTGCGCCCAATGGAAGGCAACAGTGTGATGATTATACTTTGAGTCCCTTGGGTTAGAGAGGCTGTCCAAGGGCAAAGTACTTTGGCGAAACGCAGGCCTGATGGGCCGCAGCCACAGGCAAAACAGCCACAGAAACGCAGGCCTGATGGGCCGCAGCCACAGACAAAGCAGCCACAGAAACGCAGGCCTGATGGGCCGCACCAGGTTTCTCCTCCAGCTGCAGCAAAGGTGACACCAATCCAGCTGCTGAACGGGGCCTGGGGGAAGCAATCCACACTGGGAAATGATCAGCCATCCTGATTCAAATGACACATCCAGGGCCAAATTCAGGCCTGGGGTAAGTGGGACCCACTCTGCTGATTTCAGTGGAGTTACACCAGAACTGGATTTTTTGAGGCAGCAATGGTGCTTCTGAGTCAGCTGACTTCTCCGGGAGCAAATCTTCCTGAGCACAGTGTGAGACCCAGAAGCCAAGAGCAATGAAGATGTACATGGCAGCCTACCTCCTTGCCCTGCCCTCTACAGGGATTTCTCTTGGTGTCCAACCTTTAGAGACACTTAAGCCTTTTAACCAGAAGTGTTTTTCTGTAGCATGCACAAGTATCCATAGCAGACACATCCCTCCAACACGAGCTCTCAGGCAGTGAACCATATGAGCCTGTGCCGACTGTCTGATTTGTTTGTAAGTGCCTTGGCACAGTGCCACACAAACTGCCCACGGTCAGTATATCCCCATTTCTACAGGTCGCCTTGGATGCAGTCACATGTCGCTGGGGAATCAAGGTGGAGAGAACAGAAATGTAGGTAGGAAACGTATGAAATGGAGACCCAGCAGGGTAAAGAAACCTCCCCATCCCCTTTGCAAACACTACTTGCTAATGTCTGGTCCTTTGCCACCTTTGCCCCTGAAGCTCTATCCAGGTGTCACCTCTTCAGCACCCCGAGCCCCCAGCCAGCCCTTCTCCTTTGCCCATTGTGACGGGTTTGGTCACAGAGCCCTCCTTGGGACTGTCAGCTGATATGCTGAAATGACCTCCGAGCCCGTTTTCCCTGCTAGCTTGGGACTCCAGAACCCTGCCTTGTTGAGCCAGACACGCCAGTCTGCTGCAACACAGACCCAGGTCTGAACCATGCCCCCAAAGCTGCAGACTTTAACCAAAACTGCTCAGCAGGTTTCCTATCTCCAGTACCCAGGCACCCAGCTCCCAATGGGATCCAAACCCCAACTAAATCCATTTTACTCTGTATAAAGCTTATACAGGGTAAACTCATAAATTGTCTGCCCTCTATAACACAGATAGAGAGACAGGCACAACTGTTCCCCCCCCGGTATTAATACATACTCTGGGTTAATTAATAAACAAAAGTGATTTTATTAAGTATAAAAAGTAGGATTTAAGTGGTTTCAAGTAATAACAGACAGAACAAAGTAAGTTACCAAGCAAAATAAAACAAAACATGCAAGTCTAAGCCTAGTACATTAAGAAACTGAATACTGGTAAAATCTCACAGTCAGAGATATTCCACTAAATTTATTTCACAGACTAGACTCCTTCCTAGCCTGGCCCCATCCTTTCCTCTGGTACAGTTCTTTTTAGTTGCAGCTCAGGTGATAACTAGGGGATTTCTTATGACAGGCAGCCCCCTTTGTTCTGTTCCACCCCGTTTTTATAGCTTTGGCACAAGGCAGGAATCTTTTGTCTCTCTGGGTCCCCACCCCTCCTTCTAAATGGAAAACCAGGCTTAAGATGGATTCCAGTACCAAGTGACATGGTCACATGTCCTTTGAGACCCCAGCCGCCATTCTTCCTGTCCTGATTTACAGGAACACAGGAAGGCTTGCAAGTAAACAGAGCCATTTACAACCAATTGTCCTGATTAATGGGAGAAGTCAATATTCCAAGCCATTATTAATGGCCCACACTTTGCATAGTTACAATAGGACTTTAGAGTAATACTTCATATTTCTAGCTTCAGATACACGAATGATACATTCATACAAATAGGATAACCATACTCAGTAGATTATAAGCTTTGTAATATACCTTACAAGAGACCTTTTGCATAAAGCATATTCCAGTTATATTATATTCATATTCCAAGCATATTTTCATAAAGCATATGGAGTGCAACATCACACCCACATACTCAGCACCTCCACACACTGGGCTGCAGAACTTTAAATGGCATAAAACGCTCTTGTGTTTTCCAGCTGGGGCCAGCTCCTCAGTGGGGAAACTCAGCATAGTGCCACAGATGTTGTCAGAGCTATATCCATTTACACCAGCTGGGGATCTGGCCCTGTTATTGCAATTCAGATTTCCCGGCCCGGTTCCAGAGGAAGAAAGCACAGCTCAGCCAATAACAGACCCTAGTTCAAGAATCGGCGTGTCCTTGGGAAGAACCCCATTGATTCCAGTGCTAGGTGGGTTGGGCCCAGCTGGGTGGGAGATGAGATTGGAAAGCTGAAAATCTGAACTCCAGGGACTTTTGTAAGCTGCCTCAGCCTGGGACAGGAGACACTGGGGCACAGTGTCAGACAGGCTCGCAGCCTGGCGCTACCCATGGGCACGGAATTCCAGGGTCCATGTAACTCCGGTCTCTTCTTCCTGCAGCAATCATGTGCGGCTGCCGGCTGAACTGCAGCAGTCCTTGGCAATGGAAGCAGAGGCCCAGAGACAGGCCAAAGTGCGGGTAGGACACCAGCGAATGCCCCTATATTCCCCTGCGGATCAATTCCCAGCCTTTTCCGGCCATTTGGACAGAGACCACATACACAACCAGGCGGGGAGATTCCCCCCAGGGCCTCTACTGACTCCTCACCCCATACGCCTTCCCGCACACAGCACTGCCCCTCCACACCTGCAATGGGAGGGGTGCTTCTCCCTACCCCAAGGGGGCCCTCTCCCCAGCAGCACTGCCCAGTGCCCCTCCATGCTCTGTGTTGCAATGCCTACGTCCCCCTGTGGAGTTCAGCCATTTCTGCAGCATGGAGCAGTCCCTTTATCAAACTCTTCCCACTGGCGCTCACTGCGGGCTGAGTCCGGGGCTGCCTCTGTCCCTGCACTGAGCGATGGGAATCCTAACAGGAGAGGGCAGGTTAAATGCCGGAGCACAGTGCCTGTCTCCCAAACCCTGAACTGACTGCTCCCTCCTTTGCTTATTCTATAGCTCTCCTCCACAGGAGGGCTCCACCCAGTCAAGATCCCCAGGAAGGCCCCTCTGACCAGCCCTACGGGTACTTGACCCACAGGCTGGGGAACCCCACTTTAAGGAATAACAGGAGTTGGTAGGTGCTGCAACTGCAGCAGGTATGTTACCCTGCTGCAGTCCCAACCTCTCCCAGCAGAGGGCACAGCAGAGAGGTGATGGAGGAGCTCTGGCTGCATAGGCTATTCCACTCCCTCCTTTGCTCAGCAGGAGGCACTGCAGAGACTAAGGTAGGAGCACTGGCCATGGGAGGAGCTTGCAGCGACTCCAGCCTAGCATCTTCACTCAGACTCACTGTAAGAAACGATGTCAGCTCCTGCCAGCCCCGGTGGGGCCAACCCAGTGGAATGGTGCAGAAACAGTCATTCATTCCCTTGTGCTGCAGGTGATTGCTGCCGAGGGGGAGAAGGCTGCCTCCGAATCCCTGAAGATGGCAGCCGAGATCTTGGCCAGCTCCCCAGCTGCTGTCCAGCTCCGTTACCTGCATACGCTGCAATGCCTGTCTGCTGAGAAACCTTCCACCATTGTCCTCCCTTTGCCCTTTGACCTAATGAATCTTGTATCTGCCGCTAGCCACAACTCCACGGGCAGCAGCCTTCCTACCAGCGCTCCCAATCACCCTGAGGCTCCAAAGGACACGAAGGACTCCCCCATGCTATAGAGCCATACCATGGGGAGCTGGCACCCAGATGGACACCTTCTACCAGGTCACTTATCTTCAAACAGGCGCCATGGATTGGTCTGAACCATGCCAGCCCTCCAGCATAAACTGTGGAGGGGTTGGGATGGGCAGCAAGCAGGGGCCTGTGATATAAAGTGGGCTGGGCACAGAAGTTTGAGTTTGCTTTGAAGAAACATTCCGGCTCATCCCGTGTGTGGGGCACCGGAATGGAGCTAGGGGTGGGGACGGGGATGGGAGCTTCCTCTGCGTCTCACCATTTCATTGCTCCTTTCACCCTGCTGTGCTGAGGAGCAGAGGGATGGTATAAATGCTTCCCCCAGCCCCAGAGCTGGAGCCCTAGAGATGGCCTCTATCATTCCAATTAGGCTGGCTGGATAGACTAGGGGTGTTTTTATTTAAGGCCCCAAATATCAACCTCTCCCTTCCCAACCCCCACAACATGATCTGGCTGGAATCATTTGCATTGCAAAAGCCTGGTGCCCTGGAGAAGTGAGGAGGCCCAAAGGGACACCCTGCTGTAACATATCAGTCAGAGGCTGCGGACTATCCAGGGCTCCATACGCTCGGGCAGTGCTTGAGATCTTCCTGCTGTGTCACTCATCGTGAAGTGGGTATCTCCTCAAAGAAGGGCAGCTGGTAAGAAGTGCTGGCCCACGTACAGGGTGAGCTACATGAAACCTCTGTCTTTCAGTCCTTCGTGCGTACACCCTGCTGGAGACAGATTTCGCTACCTTCGCCCCTCTCTGGGTGGAATCCCCATGGTCTTGGTCTGCTCCCTCGACTGGGTTTCTGGGCTGCAGCCCCCTGCCTCCCAATCGTATTAATGTAGCTGGCCCAGCTGGGCTGGGCCCCTGTAAACCCTTTGCCTCCAGAAGCCTGAGGCATCAGCTGAATAAAGTGACTCAAAACAAGGGCTTCAGACTTACATATTAATCATTCACCCAAAGGGCCATGCCAGTCTGAGCCAAGGGATCACATGATACAGGCCTAGCCACATCTTCCCTCTCACTTACACCGTCTTCCCTTGCAGCCTTTGGCAAGGTCCTCTCACCTACTTACCTTCATCTCCAGCTGGAACAGCCTGCCTGCTGCGAGTGCTCCCTTACTCAGGGTGTCACTGGTTGTGTCCCCCATGCAGGCAGCTGATGATGACCCACCTCCCCAAACCAGGGGACGGGCTTTATAGCTGTTCCTGGTCTTTTACACCTCTAGGCTTTCAGCCCTAGCACCCCCTCTGCCTGGTGCCTGGAGAACAGCATCCTCCCACATAATAACCCCAACCAGTGTCATCTTAACTCCCTTGAAGCTGTTTACCCCAGGTGGCTTATCCCAACTATTGCTTCATTTCCTGCTTGTTTACCCCTAAGAGCCTCCTTTGACTGTTTCCCAGACAGAGGGGCAGGCTAATGCCAAGCAGGTAAACTGAGGCACATAGGGTGTTCATGAAAGCTAATGCAGATAGCTCCCGCAGTCTCCACCCGTGCAGCCGAAGCATTGATTGCAAAGGGCAAACTAGGGTTGGAGCAGTAAGTGGGCAGCCCCTGGGGAATAGTGTTCCCCGAGATCTGTCACTTGCCAGCTGTTGGATTCTGGGCTGAGGTGGCCAAACGTGTGACGTAACTAGGCCAGGGAGAGCAAATGGGCAGCACAGCAGAAAGCAAGGTGGGGTCCTTGTTGTTCCAGCTCCTTTCTCTGTGTTAATGTCAATTGTTAATGAGCTCCGGCAGCAGCCCAGTGGCCTGGTGTCACCCAAGGTTTGAGTGGGAGGGGCTGGAGGACAAGCTGGCGCACATCTGGCTGTGGGTTGGGGAACGGGCACTGCCTACAGCCAGGCTGACACATAGCAGCCACACTGGCTCCTAGCAGCATTGCTGTCCCCAGGGGAGCTGCTGCCCTTCTGCCCTAGAGGAGTGAACAGGGCCCCTGGCTTCATGGGGTGGAGGCAGCCAAGTGTGAAAGCATAGCACCCCCCATCCAGACCAGTCTCCTCCATGGATGATTTTCGTTGGGTGAATGAGGTGAAAGACAACCCCCTCTATGGCCTGGGAGCCTGCTCCTGAAATGGACACCCCAGCCATCTGTGGGGTAAGCAAGCTGTATTCCTGCTTGTTGCTACTAGATGGCGCCTGAGGACAGGACACAGGCAAAGTTCTCGTCCTCTGTATGTCTGTGTGAGACATGAACCTAGTAAGAGAGATGGGATCTTATTAGGGGACTAAAGGCTGAGAGATAAACTACAAATCCTGATGTACTTCCCCTGAGATAGTGAAAGCAGGGAGCTAATAACTGTCATGAGCTTTATAGATAACAGCAACATTTCTATAGCTTTCTTCAACTGCCCTACGCGATGATTCTCTGGTGATGATTCTCTATTCAGTTCTGTCGGATGGTCCACAGAACAGATAGAATGCTCAAAAAAACCCAACAGAACTAAGCATCATGTCTTCAGAAGACTCTTTAAATATCTGTAGCTCCCTAGTCAATTGGATAGACCTTTCCCATAGCAAAAGTATGCAGCACATACTAGCAAATCCTGTACAGCTCTATTACTGCACCGTATTCCTGACCATTTGTACCCCAGGTCTGGGATCCCCACAGCTCTGATACTGCCCCTCTCACCTACCTTTGAGTATCCCTCTTGGAGGCAGTGCAGCCAAGCTGATAGGGCACTGGACTGGGACTCAGAAGACCTGGATCCCATTTGTGGCTCTGTCACTTACCTGCTGGGTGATCTTGGGCAAGTCTCTTCCCCTCTCTGTGGCTCAGTTTCCCCACCAGTGACTTGGGGATAATGATACCAACCTCCTCCATAAAGTGCTTTGAGATCTATGGCTGAGAAGAGCTATATATGAGCTGGATATTATTATTAATAATACTTATTGTAATTACAGCAAATTGCCAACCCAGCCAAATTGCCACCCTGCACCCTCTGGCTATTGTATTTGTACATCTCTTTTCACTAAGCCCTTGCTTGCTGCTGACCACTGTAAGAGGAGACCATCTGCAGCTGGGGTAAGGTTCCTGATAGTGATGCCTCAATACAATGCATCAGCATAATGGAGATGGACTAGCAGAAAAAGGAAAAGGAGTACTTGTGCCACCTTAGAGACTAACCAATTTATTTGAGCATGAGCTTTCGTGAGCTACAGTTCACTTCATCAGATGCATACCGTGGAAACTGCAGCAGACTTTATATATACACAGAGAATATGAAACAATACCTCCTCCCACCCCACTGTCCTGCTGGTAATAGCTTATCTAAAGTGATCATCAGGTGGGCCATTTCCAGCACAAATCCAGGTTTTCTCACCCTCCACCCCCCCACACAAATTCACTCTCCTGCTGGTGCTAGCCCATCCAAAGTGACAACTCTTTACATAATCAAGTCGGGCTATTTCCTGCATAAATCCAGATTTTCTCACATCCCCCCCACCCCCATACACACACAAACTCACTCTCCTACTGGTAATAGCTCATCTAAACTGACCACTCTCCAAGTTTAAATCCAAGTTAAACCAGAACATCTGGGGGGGGGGGGTAGGAAAAAACCAGAGGAAACAGGCTACCTTGCATGCCTACCCCCTCCTGCCTAGTTCAGGTTATTGAACAGAGGAAGCTCATCGGGCCCCACCTCCCAGCCTGGGACCCATTGCAGCAATGTAACTTCAGAGGGAAATGTGTTGATCAAGCGAAATAGTTTGTTTTCCCCCAGACATTTCTCCTGCTGCGTTTCAAACTCTGCACAGAACGTTCACTCTAGACAGACTCTCTGGGGTGAGTTACAAACCTGGCATGTTTTTAGGGCTGTTCTTTAAATACCCAAGAGGAGGGACTCTGAGGTTCACAATGGAAACAACACAACCAACCTCAGTCAGACACCATCAAGTTAATAGGTGAGCACACCCATAGTACTTCAGCCCTAACCAAGCACACACACACTGCAGGCAGGGGGAGCACTGAAGGGGCAGGCAGGAACACAGAAAGGAACGAAGGCACAGGAGCAAGCCTGGGAAGGAGTGGTGGACAGGGGTGGTGAGTTATACAAGCCGATGGTGCCCATGCTCCAGGAATATTCAGGGTCTGCGGGCCCAGCTCCATCAATGTTCGGGGCCAGGTCTCTCCCCTGGGCCCTCCTGCCACCCTCACGCACCTCCCCCAAAGCAATCTCCCAGCACCGCCTGCCACCCCATGGCAATTTAAAAGGACCCAGGGGCCCCCCGGTTGCTGCCATTGGCAGAGCAGTGGGGCTAAGGCAGCTTCCTACCCGGCCTCACTCCGCGCCACTCCCAGAAGCAGCTGGAACGGCCCTATGGGACCAGGGGTCTCTGCACACTGACCCCGCCCTAAGCGCTGACTCCACAGCTCCCATTGGCCAGAAACTGTGGGCAGCAACATGTGGAGACCCCCAGCTCCACGCCTCCCCCAACCTAGAAGCCGTTGCCAGAGGGGTGTGCAGGCCGCTTTCGGGAGCCACCCGAGGTAAGCGCCACACCCCTCATCCTCTCCTGCACCCCAAGCCCCTGCCCCAGCCCAGAGCCCACACCCAAACTCCCTTCCAGAGCTCACACCCCTCCTGCACCCAAACTCCCTCCCAGAGACTGCACCCTGCACCCCCTTCTGCACCTCAAGCCCCTGCCCTAGCCCAGAGCCCAAACCCAAACTCCCTTCCAGAGCTCACACCCCTCCTGCACCCAAACTCCCTCCCAGAGACCGAACCCCCTTCTGCACCCAAACTCCCTCCCAGAACCTTAGGCAGGTGAAGGGGGGGAGGACTTGGACCCATTCTGGGCACCACCAAAAATGATACAAACCCACCGTCCCTGGCAGAGGCCCTTGGAGAAGGAGAGGCAGAGGTGCAAGGTGGAGGATGGGAAGAACAGCAGTAGCACAGGCAAGAGTGCTGGAAAGAGCAGCTGATGTGCCCGGGAAGGGCCCTGAAGGTGCAGGAAGGAGAGGGGGGAGGAGTACGGGCAGAGGCACGGGGAGAAAGGAATGAAGGAGCGGTGGAGGCATAAAACTGCTAACCAGGAATGTAAACTGCTTTCTTATCAACTACCAGTTTGTCTGGATAGAATGTATTGGGAAATCAGGTCTTCTATGTAAAAGGTTAAAAGGTATTGATTAAAATATAGGAACTGGTTATTATAGCACCTATAAGTATAGGGGGTGTTATGTAACCAGAATAAGAAAATAGTCAGTGAATAAGTATATTATATCTGAAGTCCTTTATATTTACGTTAAATTCTCTAAACTGTAAGCTATGTAAATGCTGTGACCTTTGGACGAACTCCTGCTAGGTGTCTGCACTGGAGAATGCAAAACCTAAGATACCTTCTAAACTTTGCTAATTTCTAAAACACTATGCCGAAAATATTTTTGAAAAATATTGCATCTCTGTGTTTGTGTAATGTGCGGGGTCCATATAACTGTCAACATTTAAACCATATGCCTTCTTGAAACTTACAACATATTACACACATCCTGGGGTAAAAATGTATAGCGCCTCACTGTCAGTGAAAAACATGTAAAAGAAACAGACAAAAAGGTGTATTAGGTAAAGTGATCTAGGGAAACTGGGAACTCTTCCCAGTTAGGTAGAAATACAGAAGGGGGAAGCACAGAATTTTGAGACAGCATGACCACTGCCACTGCTGTCTTCCAAAGGGGTTGGTAACATATTACTCTTCCTTTCTGTATTACGCTGTATTAATCTTTGATTAATAACTTGATCAAGTCTAGTTATTGGAATCTCTTGTTATTAATTGCTATTGCACCAGCAACAGACCTCTCTTAAGTCATTTTGTAATGCTGCAAATGCTAATATAAGGCCAAACACAGGGACTTGAAATGAGATCCTCAGGCCCAATAAACTTAGAGTCAAGTTGCAACAGTCTGTACTGGCTAATCAATCATTAAGACATTTGGTCATTTCACTGGAGCAACAGAGGTGCATCTTTAACATTTCTATATATACAAAGCACTGGAAAAGCAGAGAGTAGGGCTGTGTGTATAAATAAATGGTAAAATGGGGCAAAGTCCTGGAGAAGCCCTGGCAATAACATCAATCAAGGCAAAGTCCTGGGCAGGTCACTGATATTTGCTGTAGTAATCAAACTTTCTTTGCAGGCCCAGCCTCCCATTATTGTTTGGATGCTCTGGGGACAGTTTGTGACTGTTGCAGATTTTACTATTCCCTGTCACACCCCACCCCCAAAGTCCTTTTTGTAGGTGCAAGCTGCTTCATCTTTGTTTTCCACAACCATTGCCTTGTTAGCCATTGTTAGGAGCTGCTCTGCTATCAGCTCTTTCTCTTGTCCTGGTGATTCTGTATTGCCCCGGAGGTTTAGTGCTTAGGGGTCTCCCCATTAGTCGGCAGGACTCCACCTTTGCGTCCTGGCAGCGTTGTCTCTGTAACCCTTCTGGACAGTCCTGTGGGTTGTTTCCTTAGGAGTCTCACTCAGACTGACAGAGCTGTTCCTCTCCAATTCACCACCCACGTTAACAGAAGTCCAAAGTATCAAAAGCCATGGACATCCTGTAAAAGGATGATAACCAGGGAGATGATGGCTCTCAGAAGAGGTATTCTGAGTCTGCTGCCTTAATTATTTATCAAGCAACACTGAGCAGAACTTTTTTTCTTTTTCTATACACCACACCTGTATAAATTAGTTGGAAACCTCCCCTCTAAATACTTTGAAAGTATCCTGTGCCCCACTCTGTGAAAGACCTGGCCCTCCCTCTGTCTCCAAACCTGGAAGAAAACATCCCAAGATTTCTGTTCACAAGCTGAGCACCTATGAATGGGTCTGAGATCTGGACAATTTGTCCCAAAGTTCCAACTACGGCAGTACAGCTAGCCTGGGATAAGTTTATGACCTGATATCTTAAAGACTCTACTAACAGATATGTTGAGAAGGCCTGAAAGCCTTTTCTACAAGTTCTGTTCTAATCCACTCTCCAGTTATGACTAGCAACTACTCTAAAACACTGCGTTACCCAGCGTGGGGTTTTCAGATAATTTATAAATCTAGAAAAGATCCTCTCTAGTGCTTTGTCTAAAGCTCTCCTTTGGAGGGTGCATTAGTGGGTGTTCCAGTCATTTTGCTATACTAAAGAACATGGAATTAAAGTGTATCTGGAGCCACAGAGATGGGCAGTGGGGTTATGCTGAAAGTCTACTACAAATGGTAACCAAACGACCTTTGTTGGACATTGCTACTCTTTAATGTTTGGGTTTGGTGGCTTTTCTGGACCGGGCACTAGCAGATGGTTTATGAGAAGTTGGCTTGGATTCTTCTTGGGAAGAGACTTCTGAAATAAAAAATACACAGAGGTTAAAAATAAATATAGCAAAACTCCTCCTTGGGTAAATACACCCTGTAGAATCAAGTACACATCAGTCTCCACTTTCAAATCAGAACTAGGAGGGAACCACTAGAGGGGAAGTGTTGAGAAAGCCCAGGACTATAGTCCCGTCTTCCCCTAATCAGGGTGGATCTAATTCTAAACTGATGAAAGAAAGTGCTTTCCCACATAATACACAGTTTGCCTGTGGAACTCACTGCCACAGGATGTCAGTGAGGCCAAGAGCTTGGCAGGGTTCAAACAAGGATTAGACACTTACACATGTCAGGAAGGAGTTAAAATTCAGCCAGCAGAAAAGACAGAAACTGCTGAGAAGCAAGGACACTGACAAGTGTAAACAATTGATAAGCTTATATGGTCAATGCCCACCCAGTAACTCAGTTCTTAGAACAGAATAAACCTTCCCTTCACAGCCCACCAGATATCTGTAAGCACTCATCCCTACTCCACCCCGCCTCCTTCCCCAGCAAGGTAGCCATAGATGCTTGATGCAATAGGATGACCTCTAGACGTATATATTGTTCCTATTTTTATCTTTGTTTAGGGTTCTCTCTTGATTTGTAACAATGTCTGTCTCCGTATGTACAGATAAATGCAAATGAATTGATAAGCGAATGTATATAACTTGCCACTATGGCACCATATTTTTGAAGCTGCTTGTCAGTCTTCCCGGTACCATGAATAAACCCCCTTCAGTATTGTCTGAGACAATCCAGCACAGACAATCCAGGAAGTTTTTGGAAAGTGTAGGGGACAATTTCCTGGTGCAAGTGCTGGAGGAACCAACTAGGGTTGGAGCTCTTCTTGACCTGCTGCTCACAAACCGGGAAGAATTAGTAGGGGAAGCAAAAGTGGATGGGAACCTGGGAGGCAGTGACCATGAGATGGTCGAGTTCAGGATCCTGACACAAGGAAGAAAGGAAAGCAGCAGAATACGGACCCTGGACTTCAGAAAAGCAGACTTTGACTCCCTCCAGGAACTGATCGGCAGGATCCCCTGGGAGTATAACATGAGGGGGAAAGGAGTCCAGAAGAGCTGGCTGTATTTTAAAGAATCCTTATTGTGGTTACAGGGACAAACCATCCTGATGTGTAGAAAGAATAGTAAATATGGCAGGCAACCAGCTTGGCTTAACAGTGAAATCCTTGCTGATCTTAAACACAAAAAAGAGGCTTACAAGAAGTGGAAGATTGGACAAATGACCAGGGATGAGTATATAAATATTGCTCGGGCATGTAGGAATGAAATCAGGAAGGCTAAATCACACCTGGAGTTGCAACTAGCGAGGGATGTTAAGAGTAACAAGAAGGGTTTCTTCAGGTATGTTGGCAACAAGAAGAAAGCCAAGAAAAGTGTGGGCCCCTTACTGAATGAGGGAGGCAACCTAGTGACAGAGGATGTGGAAAAAGCTAATGTACTCAATGCTTTTTTTGCCTCTGTCTTCACGAACAAGGTCAGCTCCCAGACTACTGCACTGGGCAGCACAGCATGGGGAGGAAGTGGCCAGCCCTCTGTGAAGGAAGAAGTGGTTCGGGACTATTTAGAAAAACTGGACGTGTACAAGTCCATGGGGCCGGATGCATTGCATCCGAGAGTGCTAAAGGAATTGGCAGATGTGATTGCAGAGCCATTGGCCATTATCTTTGAAAACTCATGGCAATCTGGGGAAGTCCCGGAAGACTGGAAAAAGGCTAATGTAGTGCCCATCTTTAAAAAAGGGAAGAAGGAGGATCCTGGGAACTACAGGCTGGTCAGCCTCACCTCAGTCCCAGGAAAAATCATGGAGCAGGTCCTCAAGGAATCAATTCTGAAGCACTTAGACGAGAGGAAAGTGATCAGGAACAGTCAGCATGGATTCACCAAGGGAAAGTCATGCCTGACTAATCTAATTGCCGTCTATGATGAGATAACTGGTTCTGTGGATGAAGGGAAAGCAGTGGATGTGTTACTCCTCGACTTTAGCAAAGCTTTTGACACGGTCTCCCACAGTATTTTTGTCAGCAAGTTAAAGTAGTATGGGCTGGATGGATGCATTACAAGGTGGGTAGAAAGTTGGCTAGATTGTCGGGCTCAACGGGTAGTGATCAATGGCTCCATGTCTAGTTGGCAGCCGGTATCTAGCGGAGTGCCCCAAGGGTCGGTCCTCGGGCGGGTTTTGTTCAATATCTTCATTAATGATCTGGAGGATGGTGTGGATTGCACCCTCAGCAAGTTTGCGGATGACACTAAACTGGGAAGAGTGGTAGATACGCTGGAGGGTAGGGATAGGATACAGAGGGACCTAGACAAATTGGAGGATTGGGCCAAAAGAAATCTGATGAGGTTCAACAAGGACAAGTGCAGAGTCCTGCACTTAAGACAAAATAATCCAATGCACCGCTACAGACTAGGGACCAAATGGCTAGGCAGCAGTTCTGCAGAGAAGGACCTAGGGGCGACAGTGGACGAGAAGCTGGATATGAGTCAACAGTGTGCCCTTGTTGCCAAGAAGGCCAATGGCATTTTGGGCTGTATAAGTAGGGGCATTGCCAGCAGATCGAGGGACTTGATCGTTCCCCTCTATTCGACATTGGTGAGGCCTCATCTGGAGTACTGTGTCCAGTTTTGGGACTCACACTACAAGACGGATGTGGAAAAATTGGAGAGAGTCCAGCGAAGGGCAACAAAAATGATTAGGGGACTGGAACACATGAGTTATGAGGAGAGGCTGAGGGAACTGGGATTGTTTAGTCTACGGAAGAGAAGAATGAGGGGGGATTTGATAGCTGCTTTTAACTACCTGAAAGGTGGATCCAAAGAGGATGGATCTAGACTATTCTCAGTGATAGCAGATGACAGGACAAGGAGTAATGGTCTCAAGTTGCAGTGGGGGAGATTTAGGTTGGATATTAGGAAAAACTTTTTCACTAGGAGGGTGGTGAAACACTGGAATGCGTTACCTAGGGAGGTGGTGGAATCCCCTTCCTTAGAAGTTTTTAAGGTCAGGCTTGACAAAGCCCTGGCTGGGATAATTTAGTTGGGATTGGTCCTGCTCTGGGCAGGGGGTTGGACTAGATGACCTCCAGAGGTCCCTTCCAACTCTGATATTCTATGATTCTATGATTGTCTGTGCTTACCTAATTCTTGGGGGAAAGAATCTTTTTGCGTAACACACAGATAACAAAAATATCTAGAGTTACGGAGAGGAAGGATGGTCTTGTGGTTACGGCACTAGCGTGACACTTGGGAGATGTGGGTTCATATTCGCTCCTCTGTCACAGACTCCTGGTGTGAACTTGGGCAAAGTACTTACCCTCTCTGTACGTCAGTTCCCCATTTGTAAAACGAGGATAACAACACTGCCCTGCCTAACAGAGGTCTTGTGAGGGTAAACACACTCATACATTGCATGAAAGGGGCTAGATAAGTATCTTAGTATATATTAAAAATGAGCAAAATTCAAGATATAAACCACCCTGTACTGAATGGGGGTGAGGAGGGAATATTTCTGGGGGCAGGTACCCCATTGCTGCAGGGTTTCTTGTGCTTTCCTCTAAAGCAGTTGGGTCTGTGGCCACTGTCAGTGAAAGGATACTGGGCTGGACAGACCACTGCTCTCCCGAGTATGGCAGATCCTTAGTTCCTATGTTCCTCAAAGTTAGGGTTGTGCTTCTTGGACATCACACTGTGAGGGAGCCCAGAACTGAGTGGAGATGGAGAGTGAATTCTCTGTCACCCAGGAGAGGTTGGTCCTGGACAGCTCTTAAGGATAGCAACAAGGAGAGCATGAGTAAGATGTAGCCAGTCTCCACATTCATGTCTGTACAATGCACCGGAAACAAACTTTTTAAAATGCTAGGCTTGGTCTACACTACAGTGTTAGGTCCACATATGTTGACCTAACTTATGTTGACCTAACTATGTCAGTGTCTACACTACAGCCTTGCTCCCGCCAATGTGAGGGCCTTACTATACCGACATAATACCTCCACCTCCATGAGAGGCTTAGGACTTATGGACTCTCTGTAGACACTGTGTTACTTACATGGGCTGTTGGGTAAAATTCTTGTCAATTTCATGGCTCAGTGCTAGAGCTGTGAAATTGACAAGAAAGACTAGTAGGTTCCCTCCTGTGAACCCTGCACCTGGCTCACAGCCACCCCCCAGGCTCCTGGCTACCCACTCCCAGCGGGCTGCTGCCTGCACTCCCCTCTCCCCATTGGGAGCCCTGCTTCCCCCCAGGCTCCCAGCTTCCAGCAAATACATATACATATGCTGTGTATTTATACCTGCCTACTGTATTTTCCACTCCATGCATCTGATGAAGTGGGTTTTAGCCCACGAAAGCTTATGCCCAAATAAATTTGTTAATCTCTAAGGTGCCACAAGGACTCCTCGTTGTTTTTGCTGATACAGACTAACACAGCTACCACTCTGAAACCTGTTACCATGCAAGGCACTAATTCTCTAGTGTAGGCAACCCCCTAGAAACAGAAAGAATCTGATGTATTAAGCATTCTTACCAACTTTCTTTCAAAAACGCTCAGAATGCAGTGGTTCTACTGTTTCTGCTATAAAATAATCTCCCAAGGGAGGTGGTTGATACCTCATCTCTTGGCAAAATTAGTCTAGACAACAAACCAGTATATGTCCAAGAGGGAATGGTCCTGCACTGGCCATGAAATGGACTAAGGGACCTAGCAGATTTTTTCTATCTCAGAATTCTGATTAGCTCACCTGGTTTTGGTGCTACTTCCTGGGCTTTGAGTGCTTTTTCCAGCTGTTTCTCTAGATCCTGGATTCTCCCCAGAGCTTCTTCCATTTGCTCATCCAGGCTTTCTGATCTCTCCTCTGCATTCTGAGCACGGATCTCGGCTTCTCTGAAATACAGAAGCCAGGAAGGCACTGAAACCTGGAGCCTAAGAGATTATTGGCAAGATACTCAACAGACAGGCTAAGAAAACTGAGATTTTCAGTATAACGGATTGGCTCTACAAAAAACAACTCACTAATATAAATGTGTGGCATTATTAAAAAGATCTAAACCAAATAGTGACTCCATGGCCCCAGCTATATGGTCCATGTGCATCAATCACATTTTCAATTAATTTTAAAACTCATTTTCTCCGAACAAAGGGTCAGATGAAATTCAATAAGGACAAATGCAAAGTACTACACTTAGGAACAAATAATCCATTGCACAAATACAAAATAGGAAACTACTTTCTAGGAAGGAGTACTGCAGAAAAGGATCTGGGGGTTATAGTGGATCACAAACTGACTATGAGTCAACAATGTAATACTGTTGCAAAAACAAAAAAAAGCAAACATCACCCTGAAATGTGTTAGTAGGATCATAGTAAGCAAGACACAAGAAGTAATTCTTCCACTCTATTCAGCCTAGATAAGATCTCAGCTAGAGTATTGGGTCCAATTCTGGGCACCACACTTTGGGAAAGATGTGGACAAACTGGAGAAAGTCCAGAGGAGGCAAAAAAAAAATGATTAAAGGTCTAGAAAAGATGACTTTCCGAGGAAAGCTTGAAAAAATTGGGGTTGTTTAGTTTGGAGAAGAAAGACTAAGGGGGGTCATAACAGTCTTAAAGTACATTAAAGGTTGTTATAAAGAGGAGGATGATAGGTCTTCTCAACCAGGTGATCCAGTACTCACAGGAGCTGCTCTTGCAGACGTTCTAGTGAAGCCAAGGTCTCAAACTCCTTTTGAGAATACGGGGTTGTTGACTTGCTGGCAGTCATCTCTCTCTAGGGGGAGAAGAGGAAACACCTTCTGTTTGGGAGTATGAGGAGAGGGGAGAAACCGGCAGAGCTATGCTTCATCCACAGCATGTGCCTTGTCCAGTTGGGTGCTGGTCTGTCACTACTTAATCTCAGAACGGACAAGCAACAAAGAGGGCAGGTCACTACATCAAGGCTCCAGTTCAGCACAGGCTTCACTTTAGGGATGTGATCAGTCCCATCAACTTCAACTGGATCTTCTCACATGCTCAGAGTTAGCGCTTTGCTGAATCAGGGCCTGAGTGGACTCAGTGGGTAATTGTCTTGGATTGCCAAAACCTTCAATACACACCCAGATGTCATGTAGCCTGTCAGGTTATGGCAGTTTGTGAGGGTGATGTCCTGACTGGAAAACCCTGATGGTCAGGATCAGAATGAAAGGAGGTCAAAAGTGTGAGAAGGGACAGATAGCTCCTTTAATTGGCTGAGCTTGAGAAGGCCTTACACTCAGTGGCATTTGTCTGTCTGTAATGCGATAACTTTTGAACACTGTATATAATAAATTCCAAAATTTCAGGGAGCATTATAGTCATTGATAGCCAGGATCCTATTGATTTTGTGGAAAATCAGAAAACTGGAAAGGGAGAAAAGAGGGGAGAAATGGGGCCCCCGCCACCTGATTAGCACAGCCACTGCATCTCAGATTTTTTTGAAAATGCCACTAGGAACTTATCTGCATCTTTAGGCACCAAAATACCTTTAAAAATCTGGTCCCAGAGCTCAAGCTACAGCCCAGGTGAAAAGGAAAGAATAATTTGTATGATGGAGATTCCTACCCCAGAGACCGACACCGCTGTTGACTTGAGGGATTTCAAATGGATGTTGGAGTCATATCCTATGTACCTGACGGTGTCCTCAGTTACCTCACTGCTTACAGTCGGGGCCTCACTGCTGACATCTGGCGCAGGTAGTTCCTGCTAAAGGAAAGGTGAAAGATGAGTTAGTGCAATGGCTCCTGGCACAACATAGGCTTTGAGGCCTACATGTCACGTCATATGCAAATGGCAAGAAGCAAAGAAAGGCTCCACTGGAAAGCAGTAAATCTTGCACCAACCACGGCTACAGCACTCACTTGTAAAATGGAGATTTTTACCACGGGTAGTGGGTGGAGCCCCCCGACTCCACCCCTTACGCCCACGCCCTCTCCACGGCCAGAGCCCCAGACCCCCTCCCCCTGAGGCTGGAGCCATAAGCCCCCCCGGCCGAAGGAACCATGGGCTGGCCGAAGCCCTGAGCGCCCCTCCTTGGCTGGAGGAGCCCTGGGCTGGCCGAAGCCGCGCCGTGCCTCCCCTCCCTGGACCCAACCCACCCAGGGGAAAAACGTCTGTTAGAAGATGCTTTTGATATGCTCCATGCAGGCTGAGGCATCACTGAGTGCCTCCTCAGCCACCCTGGAACCTGCATGGGGCATAATAAACCAAAAACTTTGCCGCCAAACCCCACGGCCACGGCAATGCCGGGGGAGGCAGAGCCACCCTTGCCTATTATACCCGCCGCCCATGATTTTCACCTTTTCCCCTAAAACTTTTTCCCCTTTCACAGATTTCTTATCAACATCAACATCTTCAGTTTTGCCTTTCCCAAGTTCAGAAGAAGTCTCAGAAATTTCTTCAGGTAAAGAAGAATCCACATGAATTGAGTGCGTCTGTGGCTGGGTCTCCTGGAAAGCAATGCAAGGGACTATTCAGTAGCACTCTCATCTGGGATTCTGTCCCTCCATATAACATAGGCTGGCTTCAAATCTATTTAAATCACAAGCTACGTGATGTTGTTGTCTCCTCTAAATCCTTACTGGACCCTGATGAACATTACAAATCACAACATAGTTTGGCAAAATTGGTTCAGAACCAGTCAAGGAACAGGGTCGCAGGGTGACTGCAGAGCAGCCAGTGCACATGCTGAATCATAGACTTTAAGGTCAGAAGGAACCATTATGATCATCTAGTCTGACCTCCTGCACAACGCAGGCCACAGAATCTCACCCACCCACTCCTTTAACAAACTTAACCTATGTCTGAGCTATTGAAGTCCTCAAATCATGGTTTAAAGACTTCAAGGAGCAGAAAATCCTCCAGCAAGTGACCCGTGCCCCATGCTACAGAGGAAGGTGAAAAACCTCCAGGGCCTCTGCCAATCTGCCCTGGAGGAAAATTCCTTCCCGAACCCAAATATGGTGATCAGCTAAACCCTGAGCATGTGGGCAAGACTCACCAGCCAGACACCCAGGAAAGAATTCTCTGTAGTAACTCAGATCCCACCCCATCTAACATCCCATCACAGGCCATTGGGCATATCGACCGCTAATAGTTGAAGATCAGTTAATTGCCAAAATTAGGCTATCCCATCATATCATCCCTTCCATAAACTTATCAAGCTTAGTCTTGAAGCTAGACATGTCTTTTGCCCCCACTGCTTCCCTTGGAAGGCTGTTCCAGAACTTCACTCCTCTGATGGTTAGAAACCTTCATCTAATTTCAAGTCTAAACTTCCTGAATGTGGGAAATCTCAAACAATATCTATCCACATGGGGTCAAATCAGACCTGAGGTAAGCAGATGAAACTCTATTCAAATCAATGGAGTTGAACCCACTTCCATCACATTTGAATAAAGCCTATTATGTCTGAAATTAGATCAATGTCAGACTTACCATCTAGAAGATGTGAATCAAATCAAATTCTCACAGGCAACCTCCATCTGTCCAGCCACATACGGAATGAAGCTAGAAGCTCCCATACCATCATGAACTCCTGTGCAATCCAAACCCCAGGATTCCATCAATTTGCAATCTCTTGGGAGAAGCAGAATTTACCAGGCAACATCACAGGGCCAATCTTCAGCTGGTGTCAACTGTCACAGCTCCACTGAAGCTATGACAATTGACATTAGCTGAAGGTCTGCCCCCATAGGAAGCATTTTAGGTGTAACAAACTCCATCATCATGAATCCTAATAATCCTCCAATTAGGAGTCTTGAGTGCAAAGGGCTCTATACGCTGAACCCTCCTGGAAACTGAACCATAGTTTCTTCAGTTGGGAAAGCCTTTCAAGCAGCTCCCCAGCCAAACAGGTTCTACTTTGGCTGGCAAATGCTAAGTCTTTATGTACCTGAGGCCCAAACAGGTTCCTCTGCTCTTCTAAACTCAGTAAGGAGACTGGAGAGCCTTTGAATTCAGAAAGTAGGAGATTGCAGGTATTAATCCAATCAAGGCACTCGGTCTGGGATGAAGTAACAGAAGAGACAAATTACCAAGAGGGAGAGAAGAATTGATATTTCGTTCACTCCTGTGATTAAATAACTCCATCGTTCTATCTATGGTATTTATATGGCCCCATCTATCCTCATCCTACAAAGGAAAAGGAACATTCACTCCTCCTAAGCATTCAAATAATGGAGCCTTTCATGGGCTAATCACCTATTCCATACAATATATTTAACAAGCTGCCAACAATGTAGTGGCAGTACATTGCCCTGAAAGCTCGGGGCAGGGATCAGAGTTCAGGCCCCAAGCTTGGTTTTTTACCCCATAAGCCAGCACAGACCAGAAGTGCTGGGGAGGAGCATTCTCAACCCCTGCAGGAAGCATTTCCTCACACCACTCTGCGACAACGCCATCTGTTTGATGCTTAGAGCAATGCTAGGCTTCAGAGGAACACATGCCCAGTATTCCTTAACGGCAGATTGGAATCAGCCCAACACAAGCTGGCCTTTGAAGGTATTGGGAATTAAAGGAGGGAGGAATGGAGATATGCACCTTCCCTGGCTCCTCTAAGATAAAATCCTGCAGTTAACTTGTTATCTGCAGAATAGCTTTACATAGATATGTAGAGTAAGGAGACATGAGGACTAGATAAGGAAGTCGGCCCAGTGCTGAATGGAGTACTGTTCCCAGTATATCCATGGGTCTCTCTCCTTAAGCTCAGCAAAGCCCTGGATATAACTACCTAGCCCAAATGCCTGACAAACCTTAAACTAGATTTGAGTCTATTGCAATTCTTATACGGATTAGATCCTACAGAAAAGTCCCGAGACATGTACGCTGGAACAGTGTAAGGACGGAATTAAGGCTGAACATGGCCCAGATGTCTCAAAACTGTTCAGCTTTTGAAGTGCTCTCTGGGGTGCTGGGGTCAGTACAAAACTGCTGGGGGGAATCCATGAGTGGAGGTAGAGTTTGACTGGAGGAAGTGTTGAGGGATTCTTTGGAGCTTTGGGGTCTCTAACCAGGGTCTGTATCATCCAATCAATGTGATTATGTTTTAATTCACTACTGACCATTGGTGAACCAGAAAGGCTGACTATATTGCTGCAAGAAAGAAATATTTGGTGGTGGCTTGTGGCTTTCTACGCTTGGGTCTAAGAGGAAGCAAAAATGTTCTGTCTGTTCAAATTCCTTCCTGACTCCCTTGTGTGTGTTAGCTTTCTGCCTGTTCTTCCTCTTACCCTTTTGCAAACAAACCCAGGCTGATCTGGACCATACTGTGGACAGACAGGTGCAATGGCAGCTATTACCTTGATTTTCTCCAGCTCCCGCAGCTCATAATTGTGGTCTGAATCCAATTCAGCTTGTTTCTTCCGAATCGTAACATCTACCAACTCCTTGCAGCAGCTGAGGAGACACAGAATGTCACCCACCCTCCAAGCAATGCCCTCAAACACCTGTTTCCCCTTGGTCAGAATTGTGCAGGATCCTGTTGTTGCAACAAGACACACTGTGATCACACATAGCAGGGCTTTTAAAGCAACACCATGTACAGACAAGAGCAGTCCATTCCTTTGGGTGTGTTTATTAAGTGATGTATTTGTCAGGTTTCCAATACACCTTCGAGAAGGGGCTGTGGGAGGATGGAGGCCTATAAAACTGTGCTTAATCTCCCCAGTATTACAGGAGAGCTGTGACATAGTAGCAAACTATTGAGAGAGAATGTTTAAGTTACTTGACCAGCCAAGTTCTTGCTTTGCTATTACTCCCAGCAGTTCCATTTGAATTAAGAGCTTCCTCCCTCACAGACCAGCTTCTCCCTGGCCCAGTAGTGAAGTCAAAGCCCTGCATTTATAACATCACAATGCAGACGCTGTCAGAAATTCAGCACTGTGCTGGAACACGAAGCAGGCGCTAGAGGCATTTCTTGCCAACCTGTCATATCAGCGATACCCTGTAGGGCACCCCTTCCTTCAGGTTCCATAGAGTGAGAGAGAAGCAGCTTCCTCCATGATTCTGGAGAGAGCCAAAGAAGGAGCCCACTTTGAAACCCACCCCCCAGCCTGGGTATTAGCAGGAGATAGCCAACCAGAACCAAAACTGGGAGTCTGTCCCCGCAGCGGAGGAGCATCAGCATATGAGTATGTCTGTCTTCACGCCCTGTTCTGTCTCTCTCTCCCCTCACTCTTTTCTTGGGTCTCTCTTTCCTCCTTTTCACTTCTCATTTCTCCACTAACTCACTGAGCCAGCCAGCAAGTCTCTCCAAAGAAGCCCCTGTCCCCCTGGTCACTCTCTTTCACCCTTCCTCCAGTATCCCACTCTCCTTGTCTCCTGTCCAATTTGCCCCTTTCCCAGATTCCATCTCCTTCTGGTGCTGAATGGGGACTGTTACCACACAGCATTGCTGGCACTACAGACAGTGGAATCCCAGAGGATTCGGCTTTTGTCCATTTTCCTTTACAAAACATGCACCATGTTAGAGCACGATTCTGTAGATGCCAACACTATAGCCAGGGGACCCGCTGCTTGCTTTATGAACTCAGAGTCCTCCAGGACAGGCCATAAACCCCCATCATTTTCCTCAGCACAACGTTTACCACGTGGATCTCTGATATGTCTAAGAGATCTGAACAATGCTCATAGCTAGTCAAGCCCTCAGTGATTACATAGCTGTGGGTGCTGAACAACACAAGTCATTCCAGCTAATGTTATCATTAACTTATGCTTGAAATATTTCCTTCTGAGTGCCACACAGCATTAAAGTTGCATTTTTATGATCCCACCCACTTTTGGGGAATCATACCTCCCTTCAGGGGGCTTTCCCATCATACTATGGGATTTTCCCATTAGAAAAAAATCCTATAGGCAGGTGAGGTCCCAAGGCTTTATTAATACCTCATTACGTAACTGGAGAATTTGCTCAGTTTGGGAACCAGGTTCATAGCTTCTTCCTCTAGTTTATAGCCACGTAGCTTCTTGAGCTCTTGATCCTTAGCAGCTTCTGACTCATTCTCTATGAGACCCTTATTGGAGGGGTGGTCAGGTACCATCAAAGTCAGCAAATTCACTATCCACATGGTCAGGGCTTTGTGGAGATCAATCATCTGCATAGAAGTTCAAACTAAAGGATTAAACTGTAGCAAGAATCTGGAATGGTAAGAGGGTGTCTGATTTGCAAAGTATCCTGATGTTAGTGGCAAAGTCCGAATGTGCGGGTAAATATCCTGACACTCACTATACTTGTAAACTGCCCCACTAAGATAGTTTTCATCCCATGTTAACATCTTTTCTGTCAGCCACATCTTCTCTATCAGCCACATAGCAGTATGACACTTCCAGGAACCAGGAGTATCCCACAATTCTATGGGGGGCACTGATGCGGCATTTCAAAAATAACTTTGTGGCAGCTGACAAACAGGATTCTAGGGTGAATCCAAGATCCAACAGGATCAAGCAGCTATCTGAGTTGGAAATGGGAAAGTCACTCTGGAGGAGAGACCAGATGAGACTGGAGATCAAGAAAAGATAGCTGCAATCAGGAGCTTATTTCCAAAGGATTCTGGGGAGACTGGAGTTAAGGTTTTCACACCCTTCACCCTGTTATTTTCTCATTTATTTTCTCTAGGAACTATTTCTCATAGTGGAAGGATACATTACAGAAAAAAACATATATTTAAACAGGAAATGTAAAATTAAATGATCCATACTCTTGATACAGCAATAAGCCACTGCAGGGAGGGCAGTGGTAGGCTACTGGGGCACTTCTCCAGTGGCTGAACCACACACATGCATACTTTTCCCTGCCTTACTTCTATAATAATCTGTACAGTATGGGGTCCCAAAGATTTTCAAAACATAGGCCACATCTTCATAGAGAGATTGTCTCATGGATCAGCTTTGTTATTGTGGCCCACTGTTGTATGTTACAGGTCCCTGCCTGTGCCAAAGCGCAGAGGACAGGTATATGTTAGAGCCCGCTACACCCTGGCCCTTTAGCTCAAGTTGTAGCAGCTTATGCTTTTAGCTCTGGAAGTCTCAAATTCAATCCCTGCTGAGTCAGCTGTCATGATGAACTTCCTTTCCTGTGAAAATAAAATAACATCCCTGTGCCAGCTACAGCAATTGCCTAAAATGAACAGCATTTAATGTTGGTTTAACTATCTTTGAGTGCAGTTTAACACAAGGAAACAAAGCCCATGAGACAGCCAGTTAAGTCCAAAGCAGACTGCAAAGGGATTTCACAAAACTGGGTGACTGGGCAACAAAATGGCAGATGAAATTCAATGTTGATAAATGAAAACTAATTCACATTGGAAAATATAATCTCAAATATACATATAAATTGATGGGATGTAAATTAGTTGTTACCACTCAAGAAAAAGATCTTGGAGTCATTGTGGATAGTTCTCTGAAAACATCCGCTCAGTGTGCAGTGGCAGTGAAAAAAGTTAGCAATGTTAGGAACCATTAGGAAAGGGATAGATAATACGACAGAAAATATCATAATGCCACTATATAAATCCATGGTACACCCACATCTTCAATACCCCATGCAGTTCTGGTCACCACATCTCAAAAAAGATACATTAGAATTGAAAAAAGTACAGAAAAGGACCACAAAAATAATTAAGAGTACGGATCAGCTTCCATATGAGGAGAGATTAAAAAGACTGGGATTGTTCATTTTAGAAAAGAGACGATATGACAGAGGTCTATAAAATCATGAATGGTGTGGAGAAAGTGAGTAAGGACATGTTATTTACTCCTTCATATAACACAAGAACTTAGAGTCACCCAATGAAATTTATAGACAACAGGTTTAGCACAAATATAAGGAAGTATTTCTTCACACAAAGCACAGTCAGTCTGTGGAACTCTTTGCCAGGGGAACTATAACTGGATTCAAAAAAGAATTAGATAAGTTCACAGATGATAAGTCCATCAATGGCTATTAGCCAAGATGGTCAGGGATGCAACCGCATGCTCTGGGTGTCCCTACCCTCTGACGCCCAGAGGCTGGGAGTGGATGACCAGAGATGGATCACTCAAAGATGGCCTGCTCTGTTCATTCCCTCTGAAGCATCTGGCATTTGCCACTGTCATAAGATAGGATATTGGGACAAGATGGACCACTGATCTGACCCCATAGGCACATTTTTATGTTCACTGTGTAAGTAGCCAGCTGTCCATGGAACATTAAAGAATCCTCAGAGTGGAAGTTCAAACATAACAAAGAGAGGGTTGAGTTAACATGAAATTGGAATTGGTGAATGCATATAAAATGCATTGAGTGGGGAGCTGCTCTATAATTCTATACTGGCCCAGAATCCAAATCTTGGTACTTGAAGCTACTATATGGGACATCAGGTCCAATTCTGACATCTAGTTGCACTTTTCCTGGACCACTAAGGGATAGGAGTCCTGAGAAGACAGCATCTTACAACTGGAGCCATTGGAAATACATGCAGTAGAAATTTCATGCTCAGATTAGGGCCTCTCACTGAAGTGTGCTTGAATTTACAATGGCTGCAAAGAACCATCACATGCTGCTATGGCAGCTGGGGAACATCTGGGTGTGTAAGAGACCCCAACCACACCCACTACACCAGTAGCAGTGAAGAAGGGTTATGCAGGAGCCACTCTGGCAGCTCAGTGGCACTTGAAGTTCCCCCCGCAGCTGATGGAATCCTCCAGGCTCTTTGTCTGCTGGGTTTAAGTCTGCTTGGTGCCACCAGAGAAGCAGAAAATAGCCCCAGTGGATCAGAGAATCAGGGTCCATGCTTCATTTCTCTGAACCCAGTGCTAATTCTGCTTCCTCCTTTTCACCAGCCTGAGGAAACAAGGAAGAAAGAAGGCAGAAAAGGAAAGAGAACAAGAAAGATGAGAAATCTAAGCCAAAGAAGGATAATAGACTTCCAGAGCCATACAGCTGCAGATCCCAGGACCCTGGGGTGAGGCCCCCAGCAGCAGCCCTACTGACTGGGTTTGGACTCTGCCTCATGAAAATCAGTAAGGATCACATTTAAATTATTTCACTGCTTGCCATTTTAGGAGAAACGTCCAGCTAGTTCATTTTACCCAGCCTGGTTAGATTCATTTGAAGGAATACTCTACAGGTGGGGAAGGTTGAAAGTTTTAAAGATGCAAATAACTGAATGCTGTATCTAGTATCTGATTGTTTTGTGGTGTCAACTCAGGAATCTGGGAGAGAGGGCAAGAAAAAAGCTGTAGGACACTGGAAGATTTCTGGAGAGAGAGAGAAGGGGGTGGGAAGATCTGACAGGTCTCATGGAGTGAATGAAAATTCTCAAGGTGGTGTGTGGGTGGGATTTAATATAAAGACTGGGTTAAATACCCATTTTTGCCTAAAGCTACCCAATATAGTTATTAATACATTTACTAAACCACTTTGTTAGCCAACACATATAATTATACAGCCACACATCATATTAATAAGTATTATGCGCACTGTATTAATATTGTATACATTATATTAAATAGGAATGTTGGGTAGTTATGCTAACTAACTTGTATTCTGTTCACTTATGTCAAAATATATATGTGACGTTACACCTCGTATTCTTTATGGAAATATGGTTATAATATGAATATAGTATAACTAAGATATACATTATGCAAGATGCTCATGTAAGGTATCACTGGAAAGGTTATGATTTACTGAGGGTGTTTATCCAATTTGTATGCATGTATCATTTTTGTATCTGAAGCTGGGAATATTGACCATGTCTCTGTATTTCAAATGTGCTATGTTGGATGAGGCCAGACAATGTTAGTGGCTTATTGAAAAATGCACACAAGCATAAGGATTACACCAGGAACCGTGTGCAATATTTCAGAGATAGCTCTACACAATGGGAACTGCTTGACTCAGGTCAGATAGCTCTATACAGTAGGAACTGTTTGATCCAAGTCGCAGTAAAAAAGCTTTCCAGCAAGTGGGGGGAAGATTCATAGATATTCAGGTCAGAAGGGACCATTATGATCATCTAGTCTGACCTCCTGCACAACGCAGGCCACAGAATTTCACCCACCACTCCTGCAAAAAACCTCTCACCTATGTCTGTGCTATTGAAGTCCTCAAATCGTGGTTTAAAGACTTCAAGGAGCAGAGAATCCTCCAGCAAGTGACCCGCGGCCCATGCTACAGAGGAAGGCGAAAAACCTCCAGGGCCTCTTCCAATCTGCGCTGGAGGAAAATTGCCATATTTGGGGTCGGGAACGAATCAGCTAAACCCTGAGCATATGGGCAAGATTCAGCAGCCAGATACTACAGAAAATTCTTTCCTGGGTAACTCAGATCCCACCCCATCTAATATCCCATCACAAGCCATTGGGCCTATTTACCATGAATATTTAAATACCAAAACCATGTTATCCCATCATACCATCTCCTCCATAAACTTATCAAGTTTAATCTTAAAGCCAGATAGCTCTTTTGCCCCCACTGCTTTCCTTGGAAGGCTGTTCCAAAACTTCACTCATCTGATGGTTAGAAACCTTTGTCTAATTTCTAGTCTAAATTTCCCGGTGGCCAGTTTATATCCATTTGTTCTTGTGTCCACATTGGTACTGAGCTTAAATAATTCCTCTCCCTCTCCGGTATTTATCCCTCTGATATATTTATAGAGAGCAATCATATCTCCCCTCAACCTTCTTTTAGTTAGGCTAAACAAGCCAAGCTCCTTGAGTCTCCTTTCATAAGACAAGTTTTCCATTCCTCGGATCATCCTAGTAGCCCTTCTCTGTACCTGTTCCAGTTTGAATTCATCCTTCTTAAACACGCACGCAGTATTCCAGGTGAGGTCTCACCAGTGCCTTGTATAACGGTACTAAAACCTCCTTATCCCTACTGGAAATACCTCTCCTGATGCATCCCAAGATCGCATTAGCTTTTTTCACGGCCATATCACATTGGCAGCTCATACTCATCCTATGATCAATCAATACTCCAAGGTCCTTCTCTTCCTCCGTTACTTCTAATTGATGCGTCCCCAGCTTATAACTAAAATTCTTGTTATTAATCCCTAAATGCATGACCTTACACTTCTCACTATTAAATTTCATCCTATTACTATTACTCCAGTTTACAAGGTCATCCAGATCCTCCTGTAGGATATCCCTGTCCTTCTCTAAATTGGCAATACCTCCCAGCTTTCTATCATCCGCAAACTTTATTAGCACACTCCCACTTTTTGTGCTGAGGTCAGTAATAAAAAGATTAAATAAGATTGGTCCCAAAACCGATCCTTGAGGAACTCCCTCCAGCCTGACAGTTCACCTTTCAGTAGGACCCGTTGTAGTCTCCCCTTTAACCAATTCCTTATCCACCTTTCAATTTTCCTATTGATCCCCATCTTACCCAATTTAACTAATAATTCCCCATGTGGCACGGTATCAAACGCCTTACTGAAATCTAGGTAAATGAGATCCACTGCGTTTCCTTTGTCTAAAAAATCTGTTACTTTCTCAAAGAAGGAGATCAGGTTGGTTTGGCACGATCTACCTCTTGTAAAACCATGTTGTATTTTGTCCCATTTACCATTGACTTCAATGTCCTTAACTACCTTCTCCTTCAAAATTTTTTCCAAGACCTTGCATACTACAGATGTCAAACTAACAGTCCTATAGTTACCCGGATCACTTTTTTCCCCTTTCTTAAAAATAGGAACTATGTTAGCAATTCTCCAATCATACAGTACAACCCCTGAGTTTACAGATTCATTAAAAATTCTTGCTAATGGGCTTGCAATTTCATGTGCCAATTCCTTTAATACTCTTGGATCAAGATTATCTGGCCCCCCTGATTTAGTCCCATTAAGCTGTTTGAGTTTCTCTTCTACCTCAGATATGGTAATATCTACCTCCATATCCTCATTCCCATTTGTCATGCTACCATTATCCCTAAGATCCTCTTTAGTCTTATTAAAGACTGAGGCAAAGTATTTGTTTAGATATTGAGCCATGCCTAGATTATCCTTGACCTCTCCACTCCATCCTCAGTGTTTAGAGGGACAATGACAACATGAGTGGTCCTCACTCTCTACAACAACACACCTGAAAACACCAGAAGAACAAAGACTGAACTGTGAGAAGTGATGGTCCCAGGCTAAGATCTTTAGCCTGTGTAAGAAAACCTGGGAAAGCCAAGGCAACTGCCAGCCTGTTTATCACACAGGGTGAGAATTTGTTAATTTGTATCCTAGCAATCTAGTGTGTTAAGCTCAGTCTGCGATGTTTGTTTATTTACTAAGGCAATCTGCTTTGTTCTGTTTGCTATCCCTTTAGCCACTTAAAATTCACCTTTTGTAGTTAATAAACTTATTTCTTGTTTATAATAAAACCCAGTTTATGTAATTTCTAACTGGGGGGGGCAAGAAGTCGTGCACATCTCTCTTCACATTGAGGAAGAGGGAGGATTTGTATGAGCTTGCGCTGTGCAGATTTTTCTATACAGTGCAAGACAGTATTATTTTGGGTTTATCTCCCAAAAGGGGTGTGGCGCATGAGTGCTGGGGGAGTCCTCTCATACAGAGCTGACTTCAGTCTGTGACTACAGCGGGGAGTGGCCCTACCTGTGTCCATGTGCTGCAAGAGGCTGGAGAGCCTAATTCAGCAAAGCAGGGAGAGGGAACCCTGGCTGGTTGAGCAAGAGAGGCTCAGTGAAATCCCAGTATAACAGGCGGCACCCCAGAAGGCGGGGGGGCGGGCAACCCTTCACAATATATATCTAACAATACTCTGCAAACGAAAGGTAGCTTTTGGTATTAGGAAATATGAAATCTATCAAAGATACATGAATGGTGTGTCCCAGTACAGGTTGGGTTGTGCCTTCATGGCCCCTAGCACTTGGAATGTGCTATCCAAAACAAAAGATAAGGAAGGAACAGGTTGATAGAAGAAAACAAGGTAAAAAGCTGCTTGGTGGATTTTAGTCTTGGGTGATGTCATAAATATAAAGGGAAGGGTAAACCCCTTTAAAATCCCTCCTGGCCAGAGGAAAAATCCTCTCACCTGTAAAGGGTTAAGAAGCTAAAGGTAACCTCACTGGCACCTGACCAAAATGACCAATGAGGAGACAAGATACTTTCAAAAGCTGGGAGGAGGGAAAAAAACAAAGGGTCTGTGTCTGTCGGTATGCTGCTTTTGCCGGGGATAGAACAGGAATGGAGTCTTAGAACTTTTAGTAAGTAATCTAGCTAGGTATGTGTTAGATTATGATTTCTTTAAATGGCTGAGAAAAGAACTGTGCTGAATAGAATGACTATTCCTTTCTGTGTGTCTTTTTTTGTAACTTAAGGTTTTGCCTAGAGGGATTCTCTACGTTTTGAATCTAATTACCCTGTAAGGTATCTACCATCCTGATTTTACAGAGGTGATTCCTTTACTTCTATTTACTTCTATTTCTATTAAAAGTCTTCTTGTAAGAAAACTGAATGCTTTTTCATTGTTCTCAGATCCAAGGGTTTGGGTCTGTGGTCACCTATGCAAATTGGTGAGGATTTTTACCAAACCTTTCCCAGGAAGTGGGGTGCAAGGGTTGGGAGGATTTTGGGGGGAAAGATGTGTCCAAACTAGGTTTCCCAGTAAACCCAGTTAGAGTTTGGTGGTGGCAGTGGATATTCCAAGGGCAAAGGATAAAATTAATTTGTACCTTGGGGAAGTTTTAACCTAAGCTGGTAAAAGTAAGCTTAGGAGGTTTTCATGCAGGTCCCCACATCTGTACCCTAGAGTTCAGAGTGGGGGAGGAACCTTGACAGGTGACATATATAATGTTTTTAGCCTGTAAACAACCATACTATAAATAAGGCTAATTTGAATGCATACTTCGATGCACATCTTTTGTGTATGGTGAACTGCATATTTAACTGCAAGCATTATCAAGCAATTGGCTATACTTTAGACAATGAACTTGTTAACATTGTCATACGCACTTTGAAATAATCTGATTTTTTTTAATTCAGAGATTTCCAAAACTCTTTGCAGAAGCCATAGGAAAAAAATCTTTATAATGTAGCAAAATTTTTCATAAATTTCCAAAGGTCCTTCTTAAAGTCTATTTCATGTCACTCTACTGGGTCCTCTCTGACTCAATAAGCAACAGCACTGAAGAACTCTGAGAGGATCCCTGCTAAGCTTTCTTTTGCCAGAAAGATGGAAACCATAGCGCTGAGCTTCAAAGGGAGAGGAAAGGGTAAAGGTACAGGGAACTTCCTCCGGAGTCTACCCTAAACAATAATAAACATACAAAAATAAAGCAAGAGAATGAATGCTAGACAGATGTGCACCCATCCCAAACCCCCTCAGGCATATACCTACTTCCTGAGTGAGCTGTATGTTGTCCTTCTCAGCCCCAGAAGTTGTGGTCAAGATCCATTGTTGAATCATCTTAAACACATCACCTGAAACGACCCTGAAGGAAAACAAACCCCAAAACCAAAGTGACCTATAGTGCATCAGATCTGACTCTGAGACTCTCATAGTTCATACAGAAATCTAGCTTCCCAACTCAATTCAACTCAATTCAGCAAGATTCTCTCCTCCCTTTCCTGCATACATGTTTCTAGCACAGATCACACATGCCACAGGAGTTGAAGTAGCTATGTATTCTTCTTATACCAAGAGTCTTCTGCTCAGCTAACATTCTCTTGTTGTTATGTTTTTACTTTAATCCACTTTCCAGGAAAAAAGGGTAAATGTGATGCACTTGCAGCATGCAGGTGATAAAACAGTTTGGCTTTGTCTTTAAATTGACTTTAGTGATGATTTAGGTTGGGGAGCCCCACGGGTGAAACCCATGAGTCGTTTTCAGGGTGTAGTCAGAACAAAGAGCTTTATCATGGACTCTAACTGCAGGAGAGTGGAACTAGGAGTTAAGGAGCAGTCATCAGAAAGATATTCCTATACAACAACAAAAATTAAGGAAAATGGAAATCTGGGGAGGAAAAAGAGCTTAGGTTAACAAAAATTCAGTCAAATAACTGACAGAAATTATATTAATTTCTTGTTTGAGGTAGTCACAATGGGCATGAGCGCTTCCAATAATGGGAATTCTGATTGTCTGAAGTCACAAGTTCTATGTAAATGTGATTGACTTACAGTGGAAACAAAAGTTGTATATTGATTTGCTTCCTTGTGATGAATAAAGAAGGCTAAAATGTGTTTTAAAAATAGGAGAGAGGTTCCTATTGGATTTTTACATTAGAAATTCAATCCAGCTTGTACTTCCTGAGAGGCTTTATGGATTACTGACAAATAACAGCATTATGACAAGAGAGTATTTTGAGCAACTGGTTTTCAGATTCAAACTCTGGTTTTATTTATGTTTAACATGTATTTAATTCAAATGGCTGACAAACAGTTGTCATGAAAGATTTGTCATTGCCTCTCTACCAGTTAAAGACAGAGAAAGCTCCCAGGCTACTTTTGTGGTCCTCCCAGAAAAACTCTAGCAAAAACAAGGAGTCTGGTGGCACCTTAAAAACTAATAGATTTATTTGGGCATAAGCTTTCATGGGTAAAAAACCCATTTCTTCAGATGCATGTTTGAAGAAGTGGGTATTTTACCGACAAAAGCTTATGCTCAAATAGATCTGTTAATCTTTAAGGTGCCACCAGACTCCTCGTTGTTTTTGTGGATACAGACTAACAGGACTACCCCTCTGATTCTAGCAAAAACAGAGAAGATAAGCCTTGAGTACTGCTGATATAGCTTGGATAAAAACCCAAACAGAAACCCATTGTTCCCTTTGAAGACAGATTTAATGGCCACTCACTTGATGGTGAGTGAGTGAACAATGTGTATAGCCATGACCATCAAGTTGTGAATAGCTGTGAACTAGCATTGTATTCAGCCTATGCACATAGGGTTTGAAGGGTGAGGGAGGATTGGATATATTTGGTGGGAGGAGGGGTTAAATTGTCTATGGTTAGTCTGCTACATACTGTATAAAAGATTTAGGGATTTTTGTAAATGCCGTAGCTGTTGGTGAATTTCTCAGTTGTAAATAGCCTGTTATATAATGTATACATATTCTGCAGTTAATTCATTCCTTATGTAACTTTTTCAAAGTCAACAGAGTTACACCATAGATGAACTTCACCTCATAAATCCAATTGTAAATTGTTCAAATATTTTCTTTTCTTCAAACTGATAAAATAATAACATATCTCTATCAGTTAACATACACAAAATTACACAAAAGGACTCTTCATAAATATAATCAGCCCTCAGCCAACTCCTTCTCATCAGCCTGAGAAGAGAGAGAAAAGATGGATTTTGCAGAGTGCCCAGAAGGTAAAGAAATCAGAAAGTGCCACTATTTGCTATGCTCAATGTTTTAGTGTTCTGTTTGAATTAATACAAATACTAGAGAAAAAGCATGATTGGTATAGGAACTTCATACAAATTGAAGTTTCATCACATGCTAGAATTATCACTGGTGTCAAACTGACCAATCTGAAGCCTAAATTCCTCTTTTACCATCTAACAAGTAAAGCACGAGCAGCAAGACTCTTCACACTGCCCCAGCAATGTGCTTCATCCCTCACCTGGAGGGACCACTTCCGGGGGGAGAGAAGAGGTCAGGCTTTGAGGTCCATTTGGTCCTTGGTTTCTAACTCCAAGATTGCCAAGGAAGTGTCAGCTGTGATGGGGACACGTGTACTAGGAACTGTACACAACTCATTTCGTAGGTATTACCAAACAGCCATCAGATGGGAATGACTTTTAATCACCACCCACCTGAATCAAATTTCAGCCGGTGGCCTAGAGGTGAAAGGCTCTGTAGCCCATTACCAACCTCCTGTTCCAGACAGTGTCCACCACACAAGAACATTTAGCCATGCATGTGAAAAGAGAAAATTGTGTCAGGACAGCCCAAGAGAGGAATGAACAACACTGGCAAAGACCTATCTTACGAGACATGAGGCTTTCTATTCTTCCGATCCTCATGAGACTGGCCGGAACCTATAATTGTCATCAGTGCAGCCACCTGGGTCAGCCAATCAGGAATCACTCGAAACAATTTCAGCCAATCAGATTCATGCATGCCAGATCCTCGCTTGTTGGTTAGCATCTTGAATGTCCAATCTTCCATACTGCTCACTAAACCTGTCAAAATCCTGGTTACCCCTGGGGGGGAAAAAGAGGAAACTTTATCTGTATTCCTTCAGTCAGTGAAAAGTGAGTTTCAGAATCCAGTAGTTCAAAATTCTATGATAAGAGGAATGACTACACTATGCATGAACTTAGCAGGCTTGAATTACAGATTAATTGTTTAATAAGGACCTAATTCAAAAGCCACTAAGTCAATGGGTGTCTTTCTGTTTATTTCAAGGACCTATGGTTCAGACCATAAATCTCCTACATAGCTCAATCAATTTCAGATTCCTAGCTCTCAGCAATGGCCAACATCACAATAATCAGCAGCCTTGTATTCATTCAAAAGCACTGGATCAAGACAGACCAAAAAGGATCTGTTGTTCCTATGCATAGACCCTTTCACAGTACGGTTTTATTTATTTATGTGCCAAGAATGCCTCATACATAAAAGGGCAAAACTTTCAACACAAGCATCCAACTTCTGCCTGGTAAATGTGCATGTGTATGTGCAAAATATAAATGTGTGTGTAAAATGGGAAACTGCCTGTGCAAAGGTGTGATTACCTGCTCATTTACCTATTTTGCACATGCAAATGTATATTCTCTGTCTGCTGAGATGCATGTAACTATACACATTCTCATTATCCACATAAAGTGTTTAAGCTGTCTTTGAATCCTACTAAAGGTGCTGGCTTCGGTGATGTCTTGTGGCAAAGAGTTCCACAGATTGTGCATTATGGGGAAAAAAGGATTTCCTTTTTCAAATTTGTTGACTTTCAGATTCACTGATTGTACCCTGGTTTTTTATTAGGGGAAGGGGTAAGTGGGGCACCAGACTTACCTTTATTCTATATATTTCTATAAGGTCCCCTCTTATCTAAACTAAATGGTCTGGTCATATCAATCTCGCCTCACACAGAAGTCTCTCCAGGCCTCTACTCTTTGTCACCCAATACTGACCCCCATTCTATTCTGATACATAGTTTTGGGGCTAGGGTGATCAGGGCTTAGTATAGTATTCAGGTGATTGAATGCTACTTCTCTATGATACGGCATTATGTTTTCAATATCACTAGCCTGTTCCTTATAACTGCTTAACATTTTGTTTGTTTCTACCACTGCTGCACACTGAACACCAGTTTTATTCAGCTGTTCACATTGATGCCTCTGGTCTCTTTCCCTAGTGGTTACATTAGTTTAGAACCCAGCAATAGTTCTCAAAATGACTCTTTCCAATGTGCATTACCTTTACATTTGTCAACACGGAATTTCCTCTGCCATGGTGCTGCCCAATCCCCTCATTACATTAGATTTCACTGATTTAAATTATTTTGCGTCATCTGCTGATTTTGCCAGCACACTGCTCATCCCTTTCTTCAGATCATTAATAAATATCTTATACAACACTGGAGTTAGTACAGAATCCTGTGGCAACCCATTGTTAACCTTTTGCCATACTGAAAACTGATCCATTTAGCCCCACTTTTTCCCCCATGTCTCTTACCAGTTTCTATGACTACTAAGAGTTTGTCTACACCAGACATTTGTGTGCGCAAGCCAGGGTGTGAATTTACAGCGCACTAACTTGCCACACAGTAATATCCCATACGAACACTACTACCATGCACTAGAAGTTTTGCAGTGCACTTTCATGTACTCCCATTTCAAACAGCAGTATGTCAAAGCACACTGCAGAACTTGCAGAGCACTGTACCAGGGTCAGCTTTGTGACTTAGTGCATGGCAAGCTAATGCACTGTAGAGTCACACTCTGGGTTCCCACACAGTAACATCCTGTACAAACAAGACCTTACTTTCTTTTGTAGCCTTTTGTGAGGGACTTTGTCAAAGGCTTTTTAGAGTCCAAATAAATTATATCCAATGGTTCTCTTTTAGTCACTCGTTCACTGACACACTGAAGGAAAGAATGAATGACAAGATAGGTAATTTCTTACCATTCTCCCCATTTATTCTTATGCTGTACTGCTGGCAGAGCTCATTTGTACGTTCATTTATTTCTTCCATGGTTTTGAGCTCTGGAGGCAACACCCCATTAATGTCCTTGTGACGACTAAGCACTGTTTGTCCCAGCTCTGTCCAGCATTTCTGCAGGTTGGCAGCAGTCTTGAGGGTCTCCTTCTTCATTAGTAGAACTTCCCCTCCATATTGCTCCAGGTCCTCATTCAACATCTGAAAAGAAAGTAATGAAGATGTCATCCCAGAAAAAGCTTTCAGCTGCTTGGGTCACCCCCAGATGTGCAACAGAAAGGTGATGGAAACCCTTTTGGCCCAAGATGAAAAAGATGTTGCAAACTAAGCAACTATACAATAAACTTGGAGCCTTGCTTTATTTTTATCCTTCTTAGCATTTGTAGAGCTAAATATTAATTATTTGTTAGCAGCTTAGTTTGTAGGCTAGGGGAATATGCTTCTCAAAAAATCTTACTGTAGCAGGGTGGTCCCACCTGCCTACACTTACATTTTCCAAGTTCTTGAAGTCCTGTAGGATTTCCTCCAATACCTCTCCCTTCATATTAGAGAAGCTTGCTTTCCCGCTAGAGGTACAAGGAGAGAAATTGAGAAGAGATGAGCTACAAGAGAAACATTACTCCTGAATGAGCAAAAGTAAACTTATAATGTGTGCACATCCTGCTATGTGCTATATCCTGTACTTGAAACAGAGGCCTTTTTGCTAAGGGAAGGGTCTTTAGGGCTTCTTCCCCACCACTGACTTACATGCCCTCCCCTAGAATCACAAAAGTGTTTGGAGTCCCTTGTAGAAAAAAAGATTGCTTCAAGCACAGAAGGAATGGAAGGCAAACAAGCACTGGATGCTTAGTCCTCAGTAAGGCTGTGAATGAAACTGACAAAATGCTGTCCTTCACTAATACTGCAATCATCCTGGAAAAAAATTCTTAATATAATATTTTTATTCCTATTTTACTTTTTAAATGTGTAGTTCAACAAGTAAGTAGAATGAGGATGATAAGTAAGTTAATGTTACTATGAGAACCTTACATTTTGCATCTTCTGACTTTTAGTGTCTCATTTTGTAACTTTAAGTGTCCTATTAAAATAAATTTTGGTATTTCACTTATTTGCATTTAAGCATAAAAATTACCAAACTTAAACAACAAACAAGAGCACTCTCAGACCAGTCAGAGAGTAACCTTTCAGAAAGAAAACTCTGGTTATAAAGTTAGAGGGTGGAATTCTCAGTCCGTTTGAAGTCAATGGCAAAACTCCCAGTGCCTTCAATGAGGTCAGGTTTTCCACCTGAGGTGTGGGAGGCTTTTGGAATAAATACAGTAGAACCTCAGAGTTATGAACACCAGAGTTACAAACTGACTAGTCAACCACAGACCTCATTTGGAAGCGGAAGTTCGCAATCAAGCAGCAGCAGAGACCCCAAAAAAAGCAAATACAGTACAGTACTGTGTTAAACACAAACTACTAAAAAAAGGGAAAGCAGCATTTTTCTTTTGCATAGTAAAGTTTCAAAGCTATATTAAGTCAATGTTTAGTTGTAAACACTTGAAAGAACATCTAAGGTTTACTGTGGTAGAAAGTTTTCTACAATCTGGGATTCATAGACAGAAATTGATTTCAGGATTCAATACCTAGGATCTTTTTAAAAAACAAGCCACAGTTATTATCTGAAGACATTGTATTAAAAGTGTTTAGTTGTTACTATATTTTATATTGTATTCTCTCTACTTTCCCCCTTAAGGAAGGCTGTATTGTCCTCACATTGCCACTGAAGAAGTATTGTTTTAGTGTGTGTTCGTATTTAGGATATAATCTAGTCCTTCCATTAGATAGGATTTACTTTTTCCCTTTGTTTGGAGAGAATCAACCTTTATCCTTGTCATTATTATTATTCGTTACATGTATTGTGGAAACCCCAGGAGCCCCAGTCATGAACCAGGACTTCATTGTGCTCTGCACTGAAAAAACACAGCACAAATAGATGGTCCAAAAACCTTACAAACTACAAGGCCTCTGAGGTGCTGGAAGTTATCTTGAATTCCTGTATTTTAGTCATGTTCCATCTTAGGTGATTTCTCTCCATTTGTTTCAAAATCCTCATGGGAACAGACAAACAGATCTCATAGTTTACTATGAAATCTTTTGTTTTCTGTTGTTCAGTGGGGGAGTAAGACAGAATCATTGCAGAAGGTATGAACAGACATCTACATCACCATATTGGAGCTGACAGATTTCAACTATGGACAAGGCTTTCAGAATAAACAGATGTCAAAGCTAACAAAACAATGGTGAGGTGTATGCAGCTTGCACCCAGTGAGCCAAATCCTCCAGCTAATGGGGTTTTGCCTGAGTATGGGCTGCCAGGGTTGGTGCACTGCAATTTTCTGTCACATAAAGGTGGTGGAGATAGCTAGTGTACCACTGCCTAAATTAAACAAGCACTCCTGGACACTCACAAAACATTGTCCTGGAAGTACTGCATCCACTTGGTGAGGCCATTCTGAACAATTCGCAGCTTCTCCCTGCTGGAGTTTTCAGCATGTTCCACTTCAACCCCAATGCGGTCCAACAGCTCCCTGAACTGCTCAGTCATCTCCTGCAAATTGGAAAGGTCAGCTGTGTCCTGTGTGCATCACAAGAAAGAATGGGAGAACCATAAGGCAAGGGACCTTCCATTTCACTGGGATCAGAACAATGACCCACTTCACAGACTGCTGGCCTGAAAATGTTCTGCAGTTCCACAGCATACACAATGACCCTGGGAGCTGGACATTTCACTCACAGCATTAGGACAGCCCCTGAGTTTTGTATTTGTGCTGAAACATCAGAAGGCAAATGTGCCAGGCCAGCACTGTTGAGGACACAATTACACTAGCATTGATTTCAATTGGTCCTCTGAGGATGAGCAGAGGGAGCAAATTAGGAAAAGCCACAAAGAGAAGATGAGAGTTGAGGACAGAGCGAGGGAAGGGGAGAAAAAGGGAACAGCAGGGAAAGGAACATAGAGGAGGAGATAGAGAACCTATTCAAACCATACCATTCATTCAAACCTGAGCCAAAACTTTAAAGTTCAAATAGTAACTGGGAAGATGAAATTCTGAACTGAGACAGATGGACCCTGCACAGATACAAGCTCTCCAAACATAGCATTCTCCACACCACAATCATATATCAAAAACAGAGCTCTACCTGTGATGCCAGAAGCACTAGGAAGTGTTTGATGACTTTGGTCCATGCCTTTTCACCAACATAGAGCTTGCGAGACAACATGAGCTGGTTTCTTCCAATCACCTGCAAGGAACACAGTTACTTATACCGGCTTTTTTGGGAGTGGTGAGGAGGTTAGAGAACAACCCGGGAGATAACTGGCCCAAGCTCCGCTGTGTAAGAAATGTACCCTGAAAAGCTGACTTCACACTCGCACTCCCTAAGCTATAAGAGTCTATGGGCAGAGCTGTCACAGGATTTACAGGGCCAGGACAGGTAGCCTTCTGCCTTCCTGTGACCTGTCCCGTACAGTGACCCCAGACAGGCAGCTATCTCTTCCAGCCCTCCCTCCCGCATCGCAGGACTCTCACCTTGAGTCCGTTTCCCATCAATGTTTTACTGCCTTTGCTTTTCCTTGTCTCTGCTCCCCGCTTGGGGTTACTCCCCCATTTGCTGCTCCTGTCGTATATCTGCCCCATCTCATTCTTCTTTCAAACACCCCTCATCTACTTGTGCTGTTGTTCTCAGTCCCTTTCCCTTGGCTCTCTCCAATTCTTTCACTACCTTGTCTCTGCCCCTCACTGTTTTAGCCCCCTGCTCCACTGTTGCCTTTTTTCCCTGTCCCGCTTATCAGGTGGCTCAGGATGGTCCAGGGCTACCCTTCAGCTGTCACAGTGAGCACTCGTGTCTCCCCAACACCTGCTCCTGGCTGACTCCCCACTGGAGCAGGTGGCACTAGTGTGAACTCCTCCTGCTGCACATATTATTGCTAGGTGCTGTACCCAAACACTGGCAGACTGTCCCTGTCAAAGTGGTTGGTGAGCACTGACCCCAGCATACAAGATGGGCATCAACTATTTTAACCCTGACTCGTGGTATGGGAAAGGGCCAGGAAACACAGACCAGTCTCTTACCAGCACTGCTGCGCATCACACACGTCCTGCTGTGCAGACCCACTGAGAGGCCCACCTTCCACTACAAACCCAGGCCATGGACAACTGTCTCCCCTCATCATCAGACACACGACAGCCCTGCTATCAGGAGTGAAAGATCTGAATAGACGTTGCTGTCATAGGCCTCACAGAGTGTATAGTTTATAGAACAGAACTCCATAAAAAATGCTACCTCAGTGCCAGTGGCCACCATAGCAAATAAATGAACAGCATGAGACAACAGCAGAATCAAAGTGTGTGATAAAGCCACCTACTGTCATCGTTTTGATCTGCAACCTGACAATCCAAGTACACTCCTTGAGGAGGAGAGAACTTCCTTACCACGCTACCTTGCTTGAGCTTAAACGCCAGCAGGAACCTCATTAGAATGACTCACTATGTGATGGAGGATGGCCAAAGCCCAACATCTCCAAGCTAGTAGGGATGGAGATTTAAAGGACTGCTCAGCAACTTTCGGCTATTATGTTGGAACATATTAAAGAAGTTCTGTATTAAAATCACAAGTAAGTTTGATTCCCCATAATTTAAATTCCAGGGCATTGCTAATTAAGAGGTCTCTTGGTTGTTTTTTTTTTTTTCTTGTTACTGTTTCTCTCCCTCTCTGTGTGAACCTTGCAAGCTGCTAATTGTGTTATTACATCCTAAGACAGGAGAGACTCAAAGCGATACTTTGTAACAACAGAAACAGCACACAGAGACTCCTCACCCTTTTGTTGTATTTATCTCACTTTGTTAACAATTGTGATTAAAATAGAGATAGAGGATGTATGTTGATGGATGCTTGGTGCAGATAATAAATGATCAGGAGGGTGCCAGCCTAGGAGTTCAGTATCAATCAGCTGAAGAATGCGCAGAGTGGAGACAGATGACTCCCGGAGGGCAGACTGGAATCCACCCAACAGCCTCAAGAATGGGAGAACCGAAGAACAAGATAACATCTGGCAGCACGGAGCCATCAGGAATGTGCCATCTACTGATTGATTCAGCAACAGCATGATGAAGCAATTCCCATAGGCTGGCATAGGAATAAATTCCTATAAAAATGGACTCTAGAAACTGAGAACTCTGAGTCTGGTTCTGCTATAACCCTCCAGGAGCATCAGATGCACATCTGACAAAGACTCGGCTCCACCCTCATGCCCAAGTTACCTGGCCAGTAACTTGGCATGGGCAACCTCTAGACTGGTAACTATAACAAATTTGCAGAACATGTGTGTGTGTGTGTGTGTGAATGAATGTGAAACTGAATGAAATGTTAAAGCTATAATTGACTGCCTACTAGTCACAATAAATGTGACATTTTGTCTTATCCCCTTTAATAAGATCTTGCTGGGTTTTATTTTATTGGTATAACATTTATTCCACATGATATGCAAGGTATCTGAGTATTTTATAAGTAACAATGGTAAGCACATGCTCGATTACATCCCAACAGATGGCTCCTGTATATAAAGTGGCAGTAGAACACTAAAGCCCATGGTTTGAAGCTTAGTGGAGCTCTCTGGAAGGCAATAACCTTCGTCAAATAACAATAGAGTATAAATTTGCATTAACTTACTCAAATTCGGGCACAAACCATCAGGATAATGTGCCTTTTAAAGTTAAACTGTAACAGAAACCACATGTGGCATTTATGATAGGTAACACATATCAATAAAAATGTCCATACCATATTTCCAATATTGTATTTTTCTTGGTAAAAGCAGTCCTCAAGAGATGAAGTAAGGTACTTGTAGCGGGGCAGTCACCTCGCTCCGGTGTGGAAAGGGTTAAGAACAGTCCTGGGAAAGGGCTGCCCCAGGGAGCCAATCAGGGCTGGGCTGGGAGTAGAAGAAGGCCAAAGGGAGGAACTGGGTCACAGTCTCTCTACAGCCTCAGAGGGAGAAGGATCTAGCTGCCTGGAAGAAAAGGGTACCTGAAGCAGAGCAGGGCTCGGGACAGGCAAGAGGAGCTGGGGAGCTCCAGCCTGGCAACTCCCCAGGCTGCAGGCCTTGTTAAAGGCCCAAGGCAGGCACTGGGGCTAAAGAGGTGTAGTCCGGGGGTAGGCAGAGGCAGCTGGTCCAACCCCCGTGCTGATGATGAGTGGCCATTACAGACTGCAGTTTGCCCCAGTGAGAGGGGGCTAGATGACGACTGGCAGTAGCCACTGAGGCAAGATGGGCATAGGGAGAGGGGGTTCCACTGGGAGGGGAGACCCAGAGTGTGGGGAGTGCTGGGGACAGAACCCTGAGGTAAGGGGCACCGGGGTCTGGGAGGGACACGGGGGCCCAAGGCAGGTGAGACCAGCCAGCAGAGGGCGCTCCAAGGCTGGAAAAGAGCTAATTCCCAAAGGACCAGCAGGAGGTGCTGTGCTGGTGAGTCATCACTCTGCTACAGTACTACTCAGGATGAGTAAGAGTGGAAGAATCTGGCCATTAATAATCTCTTAATGTAAAAATATCAAGCCATTTCCAATAACTCTGAACAGATGTGCTTTGAAGGACTAGTAATGCTGTCCATGGGAAACTCAGAGAGCCCCGCAAAATCATCCCACTCTGTTTCTGCAGAACTATTGCTGCCTCATCCTAAGGAACAACCTGAAAAACTCCCAGGCAGCTCCAAGTAGTTCTCACAGCAAATGTTAAACTTGAGTGGGATAAAATAAGAGATCACAAATGTGGACACAGTGAAAAAAGTAAAATATAGTCCTGGAATTACAGAAAGAGTCTAGGGAATCTGGGTTGGTAATCTAAACTCTAAGAAAAGTCAAGGAAGCATTTTAGTGACACTTTCTGAAAATACACAAATCACTCTGATTTCATATGAAATCCTCTTGCACTGAGCCTGAAGATCAGCACCAGAAAAAGCAATATATATCTGTCAGTTTCCACAGTTAAAAGGGCCAAAAAGCAGTAGTCTCCTGGGAAAAGCAGTCTTGGCAGGTCTGGGAGCAGAAAATTTCAGTTAAACAAAACCTGCTTTGGAAATCCTGAAGCAGGAGTTTTGGCTACAATGGTTTGTATCATGCAGTAAGGCAGTGTCCGCCAAGATGCTGTCTGTACCTACCTTCATTGCCAGGTCATATGTAGCTGAGCTCCAGATTTCTCTCTCTTGGGTTAACTGGAGCAGCTGGGTCTCAAGCCTTGCTCTTTGTAACTCATACAATTCACGATATTCTTCCACAAGACTGAGAGAAGACAGAGAGACAAGGTGTGGGTGAGGTAATATCTTTTATTGGACCAATGTCTCTTGGTGAGAGAGACAAGCTAAATCCAAGGTGGAACAGATTGTTTAGCATAAGTTTATTTAATGTATTACATTTTAATCGGAGTACCTTTCCCAGACCTCAAGGCTCTGTGTGGCTCCAAAGCTGGTCTATCTCACCAACAGAAGTTGGTCCAATAAAAGATATTACCTCACCCTCCTTGTTTCTCTAATATCCTGGGACTGAAACGGCTACAACTACACTGCATAGAAGATGCTAGAGGTACACTACTGGAATCTACATCCCCTTCCTCCTAACCTAGTTCTTTATTTTTCTCACAGCTCCCAAACATTTCTCAGACACCTGCTTCAGCCAGATCTCTTTCCTCAATTACCACACTCCATAGGCCTGCCAATCCACAGCTCCTTTCTCTGAACCCCAAATAAGCCCTTTTACTGATATTCTCATTGTGAGTTCCCAACAAGTCTGGAGACAAGTCTGTGCTGGGTTTAGGCTGACTGTTCTATTCATAATGCAAGCTTCCCTGGGTCAGGTGTTTCAGAACTCAGTGCAGGAGTCTGACAAACTCTGCATCAGTTGGCCCCTCAGACATTGAGACCTGATGAGGTCCGGATGTTTTTTGTAGACTGACAAGAGACCAGGAACTCAGAACTGGGAGGATGAGGAGGGGGCAGTACTTAGTCAAAATCATTAAAATGTGAAAATGCACAGACAACAAATACAAAGGACTTTTAATGGTTAAAACTTGAAACATTAAAACAACTTATCCCTTTGAGAAATTTGGTACTATTAGAGAAATTTCTGTGGAGTATACTGTATAGAAATAACCAGTTTCTCACACACAGAGAAATCAATATGCTACCCCTCCTCTACAATGCCCTAAAGAGAGAGAAATCAGTGTGCCGCATCCCTTCCCACAGACGGTAAACACTGCCATGTCACCTGTGAGACAATAGCAGAAGTATGTGCTTTGCCTTCAATTCAAAGACATCATATTGCTTCCAGAAATGTCGCCTGCACTCCAACCTTCCCTGGGCTGAAGGAACTCACTTTGCATTCAGCTCAGCATCCCGCACTGCATCAGCCAGCTCCTCATGGGCCCGTTCTGCTTCTCTCGTCACCCTGAAGTCATGTTCTCGGACCTCGCATAGCTCACTGGAATAGCATAGAACAGTCATTTCGCAGCCTGCTGCAATCAGAACAATTCAGAGTCAACCTACCAATCTCAATCTAGAATGCCCTTAGCTGTCTTGTGTGCTTCTCTTTCTCAAACAGCCAATCATCTCATCTTAAGGGATACTTATGTCCTTCCAGTGCAAACAAAACTCTATGGTCTTCTTGTGAATATGTTTTGCTTAAAGCTCTCCCTCTGCAGACTGCCTTGCATAACATTTCAGGCAGGATGGATATAAATCAAAGCTATTTAAATCACTGATTTTAATCATGAATGAAATTAGCAAGCAGAAAAACTTGATTTAAATAATCAGTTTTAATCATGTTTTGCATTAGTACTTTTTATTTATTTTCCTAAAGAAAAGTTGATTCTCATTGATTGGAAACATAAAACATATTGATTTGCAACTAAATATAGTCCTTACACTAAGTTTGGTGCTTTATTTTTTTTTGCAAACAAGGAAGATACACCATACCTATACATATTTATTTAAGCAATAATATAGCTTACCGTATATTTATTCTGATTCTTAACTTTCCATTTTTTAAGTTAGAAAATGGTGAATGATGCATTTCGTATTTACTAGATGATGATTAATTATTTACTTTTGATTTGTGTCAAGCTCTGTTTGGATGGAAATTCAACTAAAAATGCACCAAAACAGCATTTTATTTATTAATTAAAACTATTTTAAACATATTGAATATGCCAGAAAAAATCAAAAAGTTTATCAAAATAAGTTTTGCATTTAAAGTTTACCAATGTGTTAAACAAAGAAGGTATTATCTGTATTTAATGAATTGAACTGACTGTTTGTGGTCACCCCTTGAACATTTTAGAACTAGTAAATCTCATCCTCTCACACCTAGTTTTTATTCATAGCTTAGAAGAGGAAAACAAGCTTTCCTGATTTTTCAACTCCCAAGTGTTTTTTTAACTTTGAATGAACTAGTCATTGAACCTGAATAAACTGAAATGAAGAAAATATTCTCTCTGCACAAGCAGAAGAGGCTATTGCTGTCAAAAGCTGATTTCACACTTCATACTTTGGTTCTAGATGCCTAGCAACTGACTGCCATCAGTTCAATGGTTTGACTTTCTTTAAAACTTGGCAGCAAATATTCACTATTTAATCATATGTTTTATATTTAATTTAAATTATTTCAATAGATTATAATTCACTTAGGTCTTAATGGAGTCTATCATTATTTCAAATTTATTTTTAAATAGGTTTATTTTTTAATTCAATTTAAAGAAAGTTCAATTTAAATTTAAAACAAATGTGAGTTTTTAATTTTTTTTAAATAATCATTGATTCTTATCCACCCTGATTTGAAGAAAGGGAAGAGACTGTGCTGCCATTCTATGCTACAGTTCTACAGGACTGGTACTAAGAATGTGGACGAGAAGCTTTGCATAAGAGGTAAGATGGCTGTGAGATGGTCAATATTGTTCTGACCCACAGCATAAAACATGGAAGCAGAAACCATGGAAGAGCAGAACACTCAACAAATCTACTGCACAGAAGGTAGATTTAGGAAGATCAATCATGATTCAGACCTTGTCAGCCGTCTAACAGATTCCTTGAAATTGTATAACTCTTCTGTAATGTGCCTGTCCATTACTCGTTGCGCCATCATTTCTTTGTAAAGGTTTCTCATCTGTTGGGGGATCCGATCCAGCAGATTCACATACCTCTGCCTGTAATAGAAAGAGACACAGTAAACTGGGAAAACTGTCTTACCTTTCTGAGAATCTACATCTGCTAATCCAGTATCTAATGAGGATCCTCTTTCTACTGAGTATGGAAATTTCTATAATATAATCTTCTGAGCATTTGGAGCCAGGATTTTAACATTCTAGGATTATTCGGTTGTGCCAAATACAGGATCTCTGAGAGAATGGTATAAGAACCTTGATCACAAAGGAGCTCTCAGCTTTCTACTCACAGCTTCTCCCTCTAGAAATCACTTACAGAGAACAGGGCAGTGGTGCTGAGGAGAGTGACAGTTAATTATTCTTCACATTCCTGGAGGCAACATGGTTTTATGAAATACCAAGCTAGTCAGAACACAGCCATAATCTGAAAGGGAACGCTGTGAATTCTCACCTAAGCTTAGAAAGCAGTTCTCCTCTCTCTGCACAATCCACACTGACCTGTCGAATCAGCTCATGGAACACTATGTTGTAAATGTTCTGCTCTGTCTTCAGCACCTCCAATACATTGTGCAGCTGGCAAAAAACAAAACCAGGATCTTTGCAGGCTTTGTCAAGGAATTTACCCTTTGGCAGCGATGACCTTGGGGTAAAGAAATCCTGGACAAAGTTTGGCTTTAAAAAACAAAACCCTTGTGATAGATTTTTTTTCAGAAGAAAATGGTAGAGTGTACTGGAGAAAGAGTCATTGTGCATGAGTTCAATGATACGGTTTTCAAAAGTGCTCAGTATAGGCCTAACTCCGCTCCCATCAAAGTTGATGGGAACCTTCTGTTAACTCCAATGGGAACAGTTAGGCAGATACTGAGTGCTTTTTAATATCTCACTCTGTATGTCCAAATCTGCCCAATTTTTGTGCATGGAATACCTGAAGATAGCCCTAAGATAGGAAGATTCTCTGACATCCTGTTTCAAGCCTGGACGGGTTTCTGAAGGCCCAGCATTTAACACCTCTCAGTCAATTTGGATCAGTAGCTGTTGGGTCTCCTTTTGTAGTCACAATCAGGAGATCGGGAATCTGCTGCTTTAATTCTTTCACACTAGCCATTAAAAACATTTCACCTGTTGGCAACATTTGCACCAGGAAAGTCCAACACCCAATGCCCTGGTGCCAATCTGTCAGTCTTCATAAATCAGACCAAATCCCAAGAGGAACAGACCAAATCCTCAACAAGTAACAGTCTCTATTAGTAGTACCAGGATGAGAAGGAAGACCCACAGTAGCGTATAGCATTAGAATTAAACAACTGGGAGACCCCTTAAATATTGCAGGGGATAAACTCTAGTGTAGATGAGATGTTATTTCGCAGGATTTTGACAAGACATTACCTGTGAAGGTCCTGTTATCCCAATTTGCTCATCATCTACTCCAGCCTTCTCCAGCATGGTGTCCATCACCTTCATCAGCTGGATGACCTCTAATCTCCCAGATGGTTTCCTAAAAGTCCAGGGTAGAAAGGAAGTGCCATTCACTTAAATAAAATGGCACAAGGTATTACATAGAAATTAAATCCATACTGTCACTTCTTCTAATAGAAATGTAGTGCAGGGCAGTACTCACATAGATGGGAATAGCCGCAGTCTATTTTCACTATCTTCAAGTAGTGTTGTGTATTTACTGTAAAACAAACATAAATTTTAAAACCTGCGTCAGACAGTATTCTGGCTTAGCTGTAGAATTCAGGACTGCCTCAAAGGTGCTGTATAGAATGTGAGCTCTTTGAGGAAGGGACTGCCCTTGTGTTCTGTGTTTGTATAGCACATAGCACAATGGACTTCTGGTGCATGTCCAGGGCTCCTAGGTGCTACTATAATACCAATAAATAAAAAAAATATAACACACAATACTAATATTATTATTAATATTACTTATATTAACATTATATATACTGCCACTCAGAAGTCTGGGATTTAATTCCTAATCTCAGAGGAAGAGAATATGAGACTCCAACAAATTTAAGGCATGGTGTTGAGGGTTTTAAAGAACTCTCTCTAGACTTCTTTGGTCAAGGTTTAGTGAACTTAATTCAAGCCTCACAGCCAGGAGGACTAAAAGGTGGAAAACCTGAGGGGATAGCTTCAGGATTACAACTAGGGCCCTGAAGATCCACTATGTGGGTTGAGGGAACCTGTCTAGCTTTATTGCAGAATGCAATTCTAAATAGTGGGTAGAGTGTAAAAAGACACACTCCAATTAAACTCATACAACAGCCAACCGTGACTTTAAGGAATCTCTCAGCATTGCCCTCTAATGACTGGACTAGATGACCTCCTTAGGACCCTTCCAGCCCTATGGTTCTGTAATTCTGTGGTCTCATCAGATTTCTACTGCCACATTCAGACCCAACCAGAAATACATTTGACAGCCCAGCTCTTGAGAGGTAGTCAGAGGAATGAAAAAAAAAAAAAAAAGAGAGAGAGGTTTGGCTCTCTTTAGCCATCACACAGCAATGGATGTAAGAGCATTGCTCAGACAGCTCTGCGGGGACAGGTGTTGCCTGACATCTCTTCTGCAGCCCTTTTTCTAGATATGCTCTTAACACAACTGCTAAATCAGACTTTATACACTCTTCACCCCTTGATTAGGTTGCATATATTTGGCCAGTGTTCTTGGCCTTGTTACCTTGCCCCACTCTATAGTGCAAGACAGGCCATTAAACTTTGAGGAGAATTCTCTGTAAACCATACAAGCACTCACTCATCATAATACTCCAAGCCCAGGACTCCTTTGTTCTTCACAATGTGAAATTCTTCAGGGACCAGGCTATCTGCTACACTTGTCTGTGAAGGACAGAACGGAGACATCAGAGCATAAAACACACTGGTAAAAGCTGCACACAAACGCCCACTATACCCCAGAAGGGATATCTGTTGGGGTTGCTTAGAGAGCAAGCCTTGTGCAGAAGCTTTTCGTACTGCTATCCCATTTCTCCATGTATGTATTTAGAATCTGGATGATTGGTGCACTTCACAAATCTAAAATAAATGTAAATTTATGACAAAATAAACGTGTGTCTGAATTCCGACTGTGAGATGGGAGGTTTTCTGCTGCTGAAGAAATTGTATAGCCAAAAAAAAAAAGCAGTGAGTTATTAGATCAAAGGGTAACAGATTAAAAGACTGTGCTGGGTGAGAAACCAGGCCTAAATCTAACACAGATCAACATCAGTCAAACTCTCACAGAGTTAGAGCAATGCTGAGTGCAAATGAAAATCCTCCCTAAATCTACACCGAGAGCTCATTCAAATTTAAAATCTTTATAGCCACACCAAAATGGAAGGGTTCAAAATGGAAGCACAGCATTCTGTACAGTGATGCCTGCAAGAACAGTTAGTGCGGCTATATTATTGCTTAAAATAATTATGGCTGGAAACAGCTAGACCTGATAGAGTTGGAACTGAAATCCCACAAAACCAGTGCTCTTGCACCGTTCTCTGCAGGCACTCCAGCCGAGACAGGCTGAAAGGGAGTAACTGAATTACACTTTCCACCATTCCCACAGTGCCTACTATTATGAATCTCTTGCTCTTAAACACACATTAATACTGGGAAAGGTAAAGAAGAATCAGCAGGGTTTCAGATTGGTGAAGAAAACTCTTGATCACTGTGTTCAAGGGCTCAAATGAAATGAGAAAGATTTATCAAACTTTAGCACTCACAGCACTAGTCATGGATGAACCATCACGATGTGGTTCAGCTAAAGGGCTTGCTGGAGACATCTTTCTTTCATCTTCTTTTCCAGCTATGTCATATAGAAATGAAACATCCCTGAGAAAATAGAGGAAAGCACTTATTCATTGAGCTCATCACCAGGCACTCCACTTCTCTCCTAATGCTAGTCACAGTCTGAGGGGGGATTATTCTGTGCATCCTAATGAAGGCTATACCTGGAATCTTGTCACACTTGGCTAATAAAGGGTGACACACTGATATTTTAGCCATCTTAATCATTTCACTGAAGGTGAATCTGCCAGGAACTACTGTCTGCAATAACACTGGTCAGGGGTTGCTTTTCAGACTTGTTTCCACTGATGTGCCAAAATATGTGTGTGTCTTATTTCTGGTAAGGACAGCATATGATTGGAACATTATCACTTCTCTGGCATGACTAATGCAATGTTAAATTACAAGGAGCTGCCAAAAGGCTATAGGAGAGCTACATCCTCTTCCAAATCTATTAAAGACAGGCAGGGCTTCCTCACAGCAATCCTGGATTATATAAATGTGTGAGACTTGACTCCTTTGGAAAAGAGTAATTCCCAAAAGAAACCACATGACCTCAAAGGAAAACACCATGGCCTGAAAAATCTCTCCAGATTGTTAGGCAGCACTTCCACTTGTTTATTTCCCAGCCAATACTTGAGTGTTTGTTATCACAGCCATTAGACATGAAGAGTAGGGATGTTCCCAGCCCTCACCTTTCTTCACTTTCACCATCTCTCTTATCCCCATTCACATACCTTCCAGCTCCCATCAGACAGATGGGATGGTCTATGAGGTATTTGAACTTGTTCCTGCGAATGGGATGCTGCCAGAGCCCATCTGGGGCACGCATACTCCCCTGAAGAGTAAGCACAAATATCACTTCTCAGTGAAAACCCTAAGTTCATGAGAAACAAAGACTACCCATCATTCCAGGGGTTACCTAAAGAATTGACAGGTTTCAGAGTGGTAGCCATGTTAGTCTATATCAGCAAAAAGAATGAGGAGTACTTGTGGCACCTTAGAGACTAACACATTTATTTGAGCATAAGCTTTCATGGGCTAAAGCCCACTTCATCAGATGCATGCAGTGGAAAATACAGTAGGAAGATATATATATACAGAGAACATGAAAAAATGGGTGTTGCCATGGCATATATATCTATCTATAGATATAGATATATATCTTCCTACAGTATTTTCCACTGCATGCATCTGATGAAGTGGGCTTTAGCCCACAAAAGCTTATGCTCAAATAAATTTGTTAGTCTCTAAGGTGCCACCAGTACTCCTCGTTTTTTTTTGCTAAAAGAACTGAGTCGCCTATGCTCAGATGGCTGAAGAGAACAATACCATTGACATTCAGAGAGACAGAAAAAGAAGCAAGGAGATATTACTAGGAATATTTACACAATAGAAGGCAAAACAGCAAAATGGTCACTAACAATTTTACACAGATCACATATAGGGCCCTCCATTTTTGCTTTTTACTGAATTTCTCTGAAAAATTCAGTATTCAGGCACAGGGCGCCTGCACAGAGGAGGGTAACCTCTGGTTTGTGACTGCTACAGTTGCACGGTGGGGCAGCCAGACAGGCAGAAAGTCTGGTCCCAGCAGCCAACACCACCTGAGCGCTGCAGCAACAGGCCCACAGGGAGTGGAAGGCTGCAACCTGGCCCCCCAGTTGGGCAAAGCCCCCTGCTGACCCCAGCTGTTGAGTGCAGCCCCATGTGCTTCCCCTGCACTGTTAGAGGGCTTATTCCTTCACCCTCTCACTTCCCTGGTCCTTCTTGCATGAACAGAGAGCAACAATACCTGAAGTCCGAAGGTGCAAACAATTCAATGTTTATTGGGGTGAACTTCCAGCAAGCAATAATTCCAATTTCCTTCCTCAGTGTCCCCCTACCCAGCTCTGATGCCACAGAGCCTTACTTGTGTCCCTGTTTCCATTCCCCCCCCCCTTAGCAAAACATGATTCCAATTCCCCCACCCCTGTTCCCCACCCTTACTTCCTGACTGACTGCAGACTACATAGTAAAACTTGAGTTCTGCTTAGCTATATCTTAACCAATCATTTTACTGAAATTTAACTAACCAATCCTAACATATTGTAACATGATTATGTAACCAATTATATCCCACCACCTTAATTGGTTTACACCCAACAAAATTAATAATACACCAGACAGAAACAATCAGAGAACCAGAGATTATACAGACAAACAATAGAGAAGTGGAGACTACAGTGATAGAACAACACAGAAATGAGGATTTCACACCCCAGCTATTGATAAGTGAGTTCTTGCCAGACAGGATGCTATCAAACTAAGTTTTCTTTAACCATCTTTATCTGGTGGTGATAGGAATACAATCCTGTCCTGATAATGCCTAACAGCCCAATAGCACCTTATTTCAATGTGACTGGTGAGGACGTGACCCTACACTTCTCAGCTTATAGCTGCCGCTGCTGCTTAGCCAAAGGCCTTAGCCTAAGAACAGGGCCTCAGACTGTCACAGTAAGAGAAGGCCCTATACAGGCAGACAATGATTGTGATTCTTTCTTTTATACCTCTATAACTAGCTAAATGATAAACATATACTTAAATTCTTAAAGTATAGGCCTTTACAGACTGGCCTGAATATCTATATCCTAACATGTGCCATGGAGGATCAAGACAGAAAGGGAGCTGGGTGATAGTCCCTGTCCATTTCTCCTGCTAACCCACTGGCCCTCTTCTCTATTTTCTGGTTTATGTGTTCTCTCATGCCTCATTATTAATCCTGATAATTACCCAGAAAACTGTGAAGTAAATTTTTTCCACTGATTTTCACTCATTTTTTAATATTTGTACGAAACACTGCTAACTTCCCTAAGAATTTTAAACAAAATAAAAAGCAGAAACAAAGGGCCCTAATTATATAGCATACAGAGGGTCTGTTTGACAGGTTTCCATGAGCCCACATTAGGGCTTGGTTTATATAGTTCTGTGGTTCCCAACATTTTGGAGTTGTCCCCCCTTCTTCCCATTTATAACAGACTCTTGCCTGGGACCCCATCTTGTCTCTTCACCCTGTTCATTGTTGCCATATTCACTTGGTATTCCAACCATTTGCTCTCTCTCTTTCCCATCTTCTTCCTTCCTTCCTCTCTCTGCCAGTGTTCTACAGGACCCTGTTCTCAATCCCTTTCTGCCATCCCTCCATACGCTCTCAGTCATTCTCCAGGGTTTGCTATCAACTCTATACTGATGACTTCCACATCTCCCTATCCATCCTCAGTGCCTCTCCAATATTCCTCCCTGAACATCCAGCTGCCATCTCAACATGTCTCAGACTGGACCTCTGTGACACTCAGTACCTCAAAGTAACATGCTGGAACTCCCATATTCACCATTGTCATGTGATTATGATATGTTTTGTATAATGCAGGCCTTGTGGGGTATCATTTTAAAAGTCTTGCTCTGTTGAACCTTAATATCCAGTTGAACTGTATGCACTATAATTGTATGTTAAGTTATAAAGTATTGCTATATCTGTTACTGAGATATGTTGTGAGGTTGGGATGTTGTACTTAGCACAGGATCTTTTCAGGGGGGATAAGGCAAAGCACCACATTTATTGGTAATACATGTATCAATCAATACTGTATCATATGCATATGATATATATTACACTCATGCATTCACATACACACACAAGCACACTCCGTCTTGTTGTTGTTACCAACTAGTTGCTCCCCTTAACCTCACTAGCCAGGTGAGTTAGATGGGGAAGGGGTGGAGCCGGGCTTCTGTCCATCCGGATCGATGCTGCGATGTTGACAAGATGAGACCCAGGATCCTCTGCAAGACACCTCACATTTATAGCAGCTTCCCTCTCATGCAAATCTATACCACAGATGCAAAATCTGTGTCTGTGTCAGTTGGTCATCTGTGGCGCTTCCTTCTGGGTGTTGTCTTAATGCTGCCACATTTATTTTCAAAGAGGGTGTTTTGAAAAGAAGGTGCTCGCTTCTAACTCCCAAGGCCCTCAATATGTCTGATCTTCTTTAATGAGCCCACTTGACAAGTTTTATTGTTCTTGGGTCTGGCTTCCATCCCCTCTCCAACTGTTGCAGCTGTCTGGAGGTGCTTGCCTTCCACGCCTTACTCATTCACCTCATTCATTCAACAGGGCAATTGATTAAAAGGGGGGAGATCTGATTCTACTCCTAGCAAAAAGACATTTTTCTTCTACCTTAACTATCCTTAGGGGCTATAACATTATACTAAGGCTCAATACAAAGTTCCTATATCAAAGGACTTGATACAAAGTTGTATGAAAATAGAGGTTATATATGGAAAGACTTAATACAAGGTTATATGAAGAGGTATAATACAAAGTCATATGAAAATGATACACAGTTATGCGAAGATGCTTAATGCAGAGATTTATCTACAGGGAAACGACCACAGCTGACCTTTCAGTAGTGTGACAAAGTCAGGCCAGACAGCTGCAAGAGGGTGTTCCTATTGGGTTCTGGGGAAGTGGACACCCGCCAGTGGCTAAAGGACCTCCCCCAGCCTATGGGGAGAATCCACAGAGCCCGGAAACTCAAGGAATTACAGGGGACAACGAAAAAAATGACAAGGACTGGTGTGAAGGTCAAAGGGTCAAAAATAGGGAACCTGAAGGGGACACCGAGCAGAGAACCATGGACAGCACCCACTGTTCCTCAAAGGTGTCAAGGAAGCCAGGCGGACGTTGCCCAGAGGAACTCTGCCCGGATGCGTGAATGGAAGGAGGGTCAGAATTAGGCCTCACAGTCACAGAGAACGCCCTCAGCCAACATCCTCTCCCTGGTGTTACAGACGACCACCTTGGCCATCGCTAGGAGGAAGTTGACAAAGAGATCCCGCGACTTTGTGGGGCCACAGATGGGGGTGCATGTATAAAGAGGTGGGGAGAGAAATGCAGCCAAAAATGTTAAAGGAGGTCCAGGAGGAGTCGGAAAAGGGGTGCAACCTGGCGCACTCAAGATAAACATGTGCCAGGGTCTCCCTCATGCTACAGAAGGGACAGGCTTCCGGGACTGGAGTGAACCATGCCAAATACACACCCGTGCTCACAGCTCCATGAAGGAGCCATCAGCTGATATCCCAGAGGGCTGCGGGACTAGGGTGGAATATAGGCTGGCCCACCGGGATTCCTCACCCTCGACAGATGACATTAAGTCCCACCATTTGGTATCGGAGTGGGACATGAGGGTGAGGAAATGGAGCATACAGATGTGCCCTTGGCGCAGTTCAAAAGCGAACCAGCTGGAGGTCACGCAGCCAGCTCGAGGTATAAGGGTGGGGCTGCTGAGGAGGCTCACAGGACAAGGACCCAATGAAAAGATCCAGAGGGCCGAGGGTGTGGGGTGGGTAGGGAGCACCTTCCCTCAGGACCTGCTCAAAGTAAGCTTGAGAGGCCGGTGACAAGGCTGCTCTCACCTCCTGAAGTATGTGTCTGGGAGTACGATGGGTGGAGAGCCCCACATGCTGAGCAAGCATCAGGGGATCCACCAAGTCTCCTCGGTCATAGTCCAGGAAGTCTCCGATCCTGGTGACTCCTGCCAGGACCAACCTCTGGTGCACCGAGGGGGACTCCGCCACCTGCACACCAAGTTGGGGATTGTGTAGCAGAGGCTCCACGAGGAGATCTACCCCTTTGGTGGCCGCCATGGACCTGGTTGCTGATACCAGCTTCCAGGGCCGGAGGAGGTCCTGGTAAAAGACCGGCAGCTCAGAGAGGTCTCAGAGAAGACCTCTCGGATGGAGATAAAGAGAGGCTGGTCATATCGAAGCCCTCAGAAGCGGCGCAGGAAGGCGTGTGCC